TTTACTTTGAAATAAACATTTTTATAGAATCATAATGATAGCCTATATTCGATTTGGACTGATTATAGCATCTTGCTGTTCGATGTACCAAGGAGTTCTTAGTATTTTAATTACGTCTCCGGTTTACATCAGATAATTTGTAAAACCTAATTTTAAACTGCTAATAAAAGGTTTTCAGTGACTTCATTGCCAAGTATCACCTAATACTACTGAAATAAATTGGCACGCTCTTTTACAATATACCATATATCACATTTATAGGGTTTTTATCCAGCGTGTATTTTTTTGTGTTTCTGTTTTTGTTTAAATCGTTGAACTTTTAGTTGCATCTCATTCCATGTCTCAACCTTAAGGGTTCCTCATCTATACAAACCCTACTAAAATAATCAACAATAAATTAACCAAAAAGATCTCTGTTCGGGTTGGTCGTTGGAAGGCGGTGGACTAGACAGACCGCATTTGTCGTTAGAAAAAGCAGAAAACAAGGCGCTGGACGCTGGCGAGAAAGCCTGGAATGTTATTCCAGATTCCACATTTAAAAGGTTTTTTACTTGTGTGTACACTTTTTCTTCTCTCTATTTCTATGGTTCCCAACCTTTTTGAGACTGAGTCTATCTTGTTACATACATAGTGAGACAGTAAAGTCATTCGCCTTCATTAACTTTTCAAATCGGTTTAACAACGGTAATACCTTTCTTTTAGATGTCCTTTTAAAAGGAACATAATAGGTGTTCAGCAAGCTCTTTTTGTTGTATATATTATATAATGCGTATTTATGAATCTTAAAAAAGCCTACAAACTATAAACCACATAATATGATCTATTAGTTAGTTATAATATTATATACTGCAATATCATAAATTGAGATTAGCCGACATTAATTTTTCAATTTGTTTTTGTAATTTTGTAATAGTGCCGTGTAGATTAAGCTTTGTTAGTTATAATAAGACTTCTGACCGGATCAAACTAAACATTTAAAATGTATGCACAATGCTGTATCTTCGCAAACATTTGAAATGTAAGTATAGCGTTTATTGGTTTTGATGAACTTAATTATATTTCTGCAACACGGCCGTGTCTATGTCCATGGCTATATTTTTCAAATTGTCGTAATACAATTTTGTTGTTTGCTGCGTGTATCGTATGATAAAACGGCCAATGAAAACTTTTTGTTGTTTAAACTAAAACGCTTGGCTTGGCTTAAAAGACCTCTCATCTGTGTGTGTCATACAAAATACATTAATATAATGTAACGTAATATAATATTGTCTATGAAATTTGCACTGAAATAAATTCGTACGCTCTTGCACAATATACCATATATCACATTTATATGGTTTTTATCCAGCGTGTATTTATGTTTCTTTTTAAATTGTTGAACTTTTAGTTGCATCTCATTCCATGTCTCAACCTTAAGGGTTCCTCATCTATACAAACCCTGCTAAAATAATCAATAATAAATTAACCAAAAAGATCTCTGTTCGGTTTTGTCGTCGGAAGGCGGTGGACTAGACACACCGCATTTATCGTTAGTAAAAGCAGAAAACAAATCGCTGGACGCTGGCGAGAAAGCCTGGAATGTTATTCCGGATTTTACATTTAAATGGTTTTTTACCTGTGTGTACACGTTTTCTTCTCTCTATTTCTGTGGTTCACAACCTTTTTGAGACTGAGTCTATCTTGTTACATACATAGTAAGACAGTAAAGTCATTCACCGACGTTAACTCTTTTATTCAGTTTGATAACGGTAATTCCTTCCTTTTTGAAGTTCTTTTAAAAGAAATATTAAAATGTGTTCAGCAAGCTCTTTGGTCGTGAATGATTCTACGACTTTGGAAACAAATTATTTCTGTGTTGTATGATGTGTATCAGTTATAATAAAATATGTAGACCTGTAACCTCTCCGTCACCACTATGCCCCGACCCAACTGTACTAGTTTTTTTTCATTGTGTGACACAAAAAAAAGGAATTATTTTTAAATAAGAAATATTAATAGGTTTTCATTGACTTCATTGGCATGTATCACTTAATACTGCTGAAATTCACAATATACTCTATTTCACATTTGAAGGGCTTCTATCCAGCGCGTACACACATACTAGTGTGTTGTAAGGTCACTTTTTTGAGAAAATCTCTTTTTGCAAATGCTATTCATCGAATGATCACCATTATTTTGTAGAACTACTACCGTGTTTTATTTCTTTGGTGCTATTTGTAATATAATAATAATACAATGTTTATGTAGTTGGGTTTAAAAATGGCAGATTTCACATTGGGAAGGAACTACAGTACTTCATTTATTCTAACGCATATCCGTTATCTTTTTTTAATACCATAGAATATGAAAATTAGTAAAAATTAGATTAGAATATGAAGGGTTGATATTTTTACAAGTCATAGCACGATTGCTAAAGTCATTTGTGTTTCATTTGTTTCAATTATTAAAAACCTAAATAAATATTTGTATTGCCTAAATAAAAGCAAGTCTGTTCTCTGAGTTTTGCATTATTTAATATTAATCAAAATCAGATAACCAGATAATATCAAGTATGAGTTAGTTTGATAATGCGTACTCGTTTTTTTCTCTACTCTTCTTTTGGTATGGAATGGCTTCTTGGGTATATTCTCCGTTTACAACTGTCGAAATAAATCGGTTTATTGGGAACTTAGATATTCTATGTAATCTCTAAACTCCACGTACGTAGTTGCTAGTGGAAGGTCTTTGTCGTCACTACAGTAAGATCTCTGTTCCCATGGAAATGTACAACTACACTGTAATCTATTCTAACGCATATCTGTGCTCTGATTTTCATATAATAAAATAAGAAGATTAGAAAGAACAATGGCAATTAAAGTCTTACGGTATTTCATTACCTAATATAAATTACAATGGTGTACAAAAACCGTATTTATCGTTAGAAAAAGCAGAAAACAAGGCGCTAGACGCTAACGAATAAGCCTGGAATGTTATATATATATAATATAAAGCGTATTTATGAATCTTAAAAAAGCCTATAAACTATAAACCACATAATATGATCTATGAGTTAGTCATAATATAATATAGTACAATATCATTGAGATTAGCCGACATTAACTTATCGATTTGATATGCATTAATATGTATTTTGTGCGGTCAGGTTTTTCAGAAAATGTCTTTTTGCATATGCAAGGCTATTCGAATGATCATAGTTTTTTTGTAGAAGCAAGTTCGTCGCTATACGTTGCTATAGACAGAATATCTTCGAAGAGAGAAAATCGTCATAGGTATTTTTGACTTCATTTTTTACTAAATACTCCTCTGCTATCTGCTAATGGCAATTAAAGTCTTACGGTATTTCACTACCTAATATAAATTACAATGGTGTACAAAAAAATAAAAAAAACTGTGTAGCATGTGTGATTACCTATTTCTGTTTTTAATCGGCATGCTGATCTCAAGACACACTTTAAAACCAGTTTTTTGGCTTGCTTGAAATCTAAGAACACTGAACGTTACCAAGTATATGTATTTTGGCAATTGTAACGTGTTTTCAATTGGAATTTTGTGCTTTTTGAGTATGGCTAACGTTTGGGAACAACTAGCGATAGAGGGAGCTTCGCCGATCAAGAACTATCCAGAGGAAGGATGAACATTTTGTGAAAACCAAGTTCGTCGCTATACGTTGCTATAGACAGAATATCTTCGAAGACAGAAAATCGTCATAGGTATTTTCGACTTCATTTTTTACCAAATATTCCTCTGCTGTAAGCATTTTATAGTTTTTTAAATGCACATCTAAAGGTTTAGTTTCATCGACTTCAAACGATTTTTCAAAGGGGTGTTTTTCTGCTTTATCATTTTTATGTTTGATTTTTAACATATTATACGAGGCGCTGGACGCTGGCGTGAAATCCTTTGATGTTTAAAATTATCATAATCACATAAAACGATAAATTTATGTTCTCTTGCGTTTTTTCTAAGTGTATTTCAGAATGACATTTTTTTTTTGCTGCAAAGTGGTACAACTTTAATTTCTGACTACAAGAAAATTTGGAATAAACCCAAATCTTTTTCTATGTTGTTTTGACTAAAAGTAATGATTTTTTAAATGTCGCTATGTCATGCTTACATGTCTATTTTCTATCTATACTCATACTTGTCTTAAAATATACATAGTACACATAAAACATAGTATGAAATTTCGATAGTACTTTGAAATAAATTGGTGCGCTCGATCACAATATGTCCCGTTATACCATAATTCACATTAGAACAGCATTTATCTAGTGTGTATTAATATGTATTTTGTGAGGTCAGGTTTTTCAGAAAATGTCTTTTTGCATATGCAAGGCTATTCGAATGATCATAGTTTTTTTGTAGAAGCACTACGGAATTTTCTTCTTTGGTGCTATTTGTTTAATATAAAAAGCAAAAATAATTTTCAGTACTTATTCAAAGATCTCACAAATCCACCAAGATATAGCGCATTCATCTTAACATCTTAAATCAAGATGATATGGTTATGTATTGAATACATGACCTAATATAAATGAATGTAACTTGTGTTTAAGTAAAAAATGGCAATTAAAGTCTTACGGTATTTCACTACCTAATATAAATTACAATGGTGTACAAAAAAATTAAAAAAACTGTGTAGCATGTGTGATTACCTATTTCTGTTTTTAATCGGCATGCTGATCTCAAGATACACATTAAAACAAACTTTTTTATGTATGATTTTCAGGATAATGTGAGTTTTTAAAAAATCTCAAGGTAAGCTCACATTTTAATAAATATCTTGAGATGGTATCCCAATCTGTTAGACCAATTTGCTCTGGAATCTCTTCAACAATCGAGTTATCTATTTTTGTTGGATGGCCCACTGGATACTCGTCATAGTTTAACATATACAAAATATTAATATCATAATTACTTATAAGTAGGATGATTAAATTTAATAAGAAATATGCACAATTTATAGGATTTTTATATGTTTATTAGCATTGAGTTGGATCTTTTAGCGGTAACTAGTGTACAGCTTGTACCTCCTGACAGTAAGACGGTCTTCTTTAAATTTGCATAACATACGCGGTCTTTAATACTTGTTATTAATAGTATTATTAAGTAAGTTTTATTTCATGCATTTTATTTTGTATTTAATACATTGAATAATTCGTAAATATAGATATAAGAACAGTATATAAATATGATTGAAAGAAACAACAATGCAATACAATTGTCAATTATTTACAATTACGATTGCTGGTATATGTTACCAACTGGCAACCTGACTTCTGAGTAATTGTATTACTTCAGTAAGTTTATCGACTTCTACTTCCCAAATTACTTCGTCGACGAATCTATATTTGCTAACACTTCCGTCTGTACCTGTTAGGGTACAAGTACCGCAATTGTCAACTTCGGCAGTTAATACATATGAAGCTGGGAATTTTATACTTCTGAACAAACCTATTAAACGACACATCCGTTTGAAATCTCTGAAAGCTGATTCGTATCCAACTAAAAAATATAAAAAGTCTTTAGAAAAAATATTTAAATTTAAATTACTAATTATCGCTGTGCTTTACTATGAAACACATAACTAATAAATTTGTATATAACAAATTATAGAAAAGTAATTATAATATACAGGATATTCGTATTGTATAGCCATTTTACTCCGAATAAATAATTTATTTATACACAGTATCATGATCGAACACCTGTATTTCATAACCTATTACTCATCAAAATTATATAAAATATTTTTGAAAGCAAAAAAAAAATGTATTTTCATTCATAATTAATTTTACTGGTAACCTAGAAACTTTATATTGGTTTAATTGTAAAGAAATTTAATACGTAATATCTTTTTATATTCTTGTTTTGAATAATGTAATTAAAAAAATAAATATATTATTTAAAAGCAAAACCAGTACAAGTATATATTAATATTTACGTATTGCGGCAAGGACTAAAGATTTTGTAATTTCTTTTGTCATAACTCTTCTGGCAGTTCCAAGATCTGGCAATAAATTATCTCCAAAATCTGCAACAATTAATGAATTACATCGTTGATAGGAAGAAATAAAAATAAAAACAAATTGCATTTCAAAGAACTGTACTATTATTTGTTTAAGTTTTTATTACGATTGAAAAAAAAAATAACAGAAATATAATAAATATACTGCAACTATTTTGTTGAAGTACGCAAATGAATTTAATAATTAACGTTTGTTAATTTTAAAAAGTAGACAAATTTTTGATAACTTTGTTTTCAATAACTTAAATTTCAAATCTCAGTTAAAATAATTTTAATAGTTTAAAATTGTATGGATCATTTTGAAACAGCAAAAAATTATCAAAATTATTTTTCCCTAGTCAATAATCCCTTACGTTGCAAATATTGGTTATAAGTTACCTATCTAACTTTATGAGCCTTTTTGAGCCCCCATGCCACTGTATGTCTATATCCAATTTCAACCCTTTATTCTTTTTATTAAAATTGCATGTTATATGTTTTCTATATTATTGATGATTGAATGTACTAATTGCAATTATTATATTAATTTGACATAAAAAACATGTAAATTTGTATAGTGTTTTTTCACGTATTCGAAGGTGAAAAGGTGACAATATAAAAGTATTGGCCTAATATAGTACTTTTATCATGTTCATGTTTAGTATTCTAATACCAATATGGTACGATTTCTGATCCATTGATTTGTTATATGAATAAATCGGTTCGGAAGTTTCGATGATCGTAGATCCAAACACAAAAATTGGCAAAAGGAATCAATGGGCAACTTTGGCTTTACTGGATTCGAATCTGATCAAGATAAGGGAAACCTGGATGATATTTTTATTCAAGATCTTAAGAAACTATAAAAAGAGATCCTTTTAAACTCCTTGATCTTAAAATGTTTGTACATATAAAAATATAATATTGAATAATATTTTTAAAATTTACCCATTTTAAGCATCGTAAACCAATTATCTCCTGGAAAGAAAATATAACATTAAAACTATTGCGATATACGCCTGTATATCTTGGTGGAAGTTAGTATTTAAGTAGAAAATAAAACACAACAATAATATGTTTGAACACAATACTATTAAACATAAAAACACACAGTATAAATATAGAGAATAATATATACAATGTACGTTACAGCCGTAATAGAATGGTAAATCCAACACCTTAATACTATGTCTTATATATGATATAATCTAGGTTACAAATGTAATTGGTTCTTGTATAAAACAACTTTTAAATATTACTCAATGACTTCTATAGTGCACACATATAATACCATATAAGGTTATATAATATTTATTACTTATAACATACTTATATTCCATGACCCAAATAAACAATATTAATTATGTTCAATAAGAACACAAGTTGTTAAGAATAGAACTAGAATACTGACGTAAGAAAACTATTTTTCGTACAAGCCAGTTCACTAACTATAAGCTAGTCAATATCTTAAAAGATATTAAATTTTTTTTAAATTATTCTCGTTCATACTTTCAAAGCAAATATTTAGCTCAAGTTTAAAATATTTTTCATTTATATAACTCCAGTTCTATTTGTTAAAACCCTATGAAGTTAAGACTTTTAAACAATAATGCATATGTCATGTCAATTTTGTAAACCAAGAATATTTGCTGAAAATTTTGACTGGTTGATAACCAGTTTTTGATATTTACTTTCCCTTCCTAAATTTTGAATTTTAATAACTTTAAAATGAATTATCCAAAACATAAATGCTATTCAAACATTTTTTTCCAAATATTTAGTGTATCATTAAAAACCAGCTGTAACATACAGTTCTGAAAGCTTTGTTTATCCAATTTAAAAAATTTTACCGACAATAACTTAAATTACAATAGATTTATCTCTACATGGTACATTTACGTTATAACTAGTAGGTACAAGCCACATTATTTTTGGCACAGTAATAAAATGTTTAAAATAATACTTTAATTGAATTACTGTCGAATAAAATTCGATTGATAATCCAAGCCTTAAGAGCTATTAAAGTATATATAATAAATGTGTGAGTACCTAGGTCTGGTTCAACTTGAGGTACAGGGATAGCTGTAACAAACGTATAAATTACTCCAATTATAATCATAATATACGTTCTTATTAAAAACTCAGTAACTATTAACTTTGAAAATTGTGCACAAAAAATGTTAAGTTAACATAGATATGTTTTTGGCTAGCTTAAAATCTGCGAACGCTGAACGTTACCAAGTATATGTAATATATTCTCTCAATACGGTGTTTGTCCTTTTGCCAAATGCAACGTGTTTTTAATTGGAATTTTGTGCTTTTTGAGTATGGCTAACGTTTGGGAACAATTGGCGGTAGAGGGAGCTTCGCCGATCAAGAACTACCCAGAGGAAGGTTGAACATTTTGTGAAAACCAAGTTCGTCGCTATACGTTGCTATAGACAGAATATCTTTGAAGACAGAAAATCGTCATAGGTATTTTTGACTTCATTTTTTACCAAATACTCCTCTGTTGTAAGCATTTTATAGTTTTTTAAATGCACATCTATAGGTTTAGTTTCAACGACTTCAAACAATTTTTTAAAGGAGTGTTCTTCTGTTTTATCATTTTTATGTTTAATTTTCAACATATTATACGAGGCGCTGGACGCTGGCGTGAAATCCTTTGATGTTTAAAATTATCATAATCACATAAAACGATAAATTTATGTTCTCTTGCGTTTTTTCTAAGTGTATTTAAGAATGACATTTTTTTTTTTGCTGCAAAGTGATACAACTTTAATTTCTGACTACAAGAAAATTTGGAATAAACCCAAATCTTTTTCTATGTTGTTTTGACTAAAAAATATGATTTTTTAAATGCCGCTATGTCATGCTTACATGTCTATTTTCTATCTATACTCATACTTGTCTTAAAATTGTTTAAGAAAATATTTAACAAAAGTAATATACATCGATGATAAGATCACTTTAAGAAGTACGACTTTAATATTTTGCTCACCTTTAAAATTGAAAAAATATTACATTACCATAAAGATAAGATTTGAATTAAGACTAAGATACTGATAAATATACAGGTTATGCTGAAGATAATGATAATGATAATCATAATGATCAAGATATATAACATTCCAGGCTTCTTCGCCAGCGTCCAGCATCTTGTTTTCTGATTTTTCTGACGATGAATCCGTTCTCTCTAGTTCACCGTCTTCCAACGACGAAACCGAACAGAAATCTTACTGTAGTGACGACGAAGACCTCCCTCTACCGACTTCGTACATAGATAAAGAGAAAAACAAAACGAAAGTGGTCATAATGTAGTTTGATGAAATGCAACCTAAATAAAAAACTAAGACTAACAAAAATATTACATATTATGTTTTAACAGCTTGCGTACGAGTCCGCAATACCACCGGGATATATTTTTATGTCTCGTTCTGCGGAGCAGAGCTCGTTATTCGTTTTCTGCCTTTTCTGACGATGAATCAGGTCTGTCTAGTCCATCGTGTTTCAACATAATAAATATTATAACCACATAATATCATCTATGAGTTAGTTTGACAATGCATACTCGTTTTATTCGCTCTATCTCGTTACATATACAGTAAGACAGTAAAGACATTGGTCAACATTAACTTTTCTGTACGGTTTAAACACAGGCGGATTTTACATTGAAAAGACCTTTCATTTGTGTGTATCATACGGAATACGATAATATAATGTAATGTAGTATAATATTATATAATATCATTGGCATTACCGAAATTAACTTTTCGTTTCGGTTTTAGAACGGTAGGCATATTCGGTTGGCATAACTGCTCTGGAATATTCTCCAACAGATAGGTTTTCTATTTTTGTTACATGGCCTACTGGATACTCGTCATAACGGTATTTAATATAAAGGTCAATAAAACTATAAGTAATTTTATTAGAATTTATCCAACTTTAACATTTAGAACAAAATGTCAAAACTTAGGCTTGGCTTAGCTTAAAGTTATACGGACCGTAATGTCATAACATAACAATCATTCAATGTTTTTCCGGGAAGCGGAGAAAAAAACAGTTCCATTTTTTTAATACTTACATGTAGCACAAATTATTTCTCTTTGCAATTTAACCTGGTCAGCTATACATACTAAAATTAAAATAATAAAAATCATTTAATGTTTTTTTATTCTAATGGTAGAAATTAATATATCATATAGTACTCTGTTTGAAAAGTTATAAAATATATGAAAGACATGAAAGTGGTTACCTGCTATGTTAGTAGTGTCTGCTGATTCTGAAATTAAAAAGAAAATATTTAACACTTACAAATTAACAAACAACTATGTGGAACTACGACCAACATAACCAGAGATAACAATTACCCGGAACAGCCAACATCATAGCAATTTGCTCTGAAATTATTATAATATAAAATAATGAATTAATACAATTGAGTTTAATTTAGTATTCTATTAAAAATTAAAAATAGGAGGTCTATGTAAAAAAATATATGCGATATATTCGGTAGAAATATGCATAGTTTTATTATATTACACATAGTGAAGATTTTAAAAAACAATGACTGAATTGAAGAAGTTGTGGCTTATAGAATAAAATATAATGTGTAGATAAGGTTGAAAGAGGTAATATCAGTGTTCTCTGTCAGAAAAATTCCATTTAGATTTTGAAGAAAAAAATGTAATTTATATTACAGATACATTTTTATTAAGATAAATTGTTGTTGCAGTCTTTTTGTTTCACATTTAATTATTTTTTCTATTTTCAATTTATATCTTATCTTAGCCTTGTCGCGGAGCTGAAAGGTATTGTTTTTATTTTTTTTTTCTGGACCTATAATAGATCACAAATTGTACAGGAAAAGTAAATTGTTGGGCCCAAAACTAAGTTCACCAGCAACATCAAGAACTAGTATAACCTTAACTACTAATACTCTTTAGACATAGCACTACCAATTAACGTAGACAACCTTTTTTTTTTTTTTTTAACGTTTGTTGAGAATATTTACAATCTATATTATATGTACAATGAGTAAATTTAGATAATTCAACGAGAAAATTAACATGACAAGGCAACGAGGAGGAGGCTCACATAAGAGCCACCTGTAAGACAACCTAAAAAATATCCCAAACCTTATACCTTCAATGGGGTGGAACCTTTTTCTTTATTTCAGTTTTTAGGTACTTAAGTTTTAGGACTTAAGGTTTGAAAATTTGACTGAAGATGTACAGGGTGATTCATTTTGGGTGAGAAACTCATTTTTCAGAAGATATTAATATTTTGAAAAAAAAAATTTTCCTACACTTTCGGGTACACAATGTACTATATTTGTCAATATTTTGAAAATTTTTATCACCATCGCTTATACGAAAAAAATCGTTGAACGTGATTTTTTTGAATGGTCACATTTGTGTTTACTTCTAAAATTTTGTAGGCAAAAAAATTTAAAATACGTTGACGTTTGAATTTTTAATTTTCATCTATTTGTTCGTTAGCTATGACTTTCTAAAGATTTTACATTTTCACTAAATAATTGTGATATTTTTTCGTTTTTCCAAAGACCTGTAGCCCATAACTGTCATTACTGTTGCATTGTCCGTTAGACGATAACGAATACACATTACACTAACATAAAAATACTTATGTAAGATTTTAAATTGAAGGTTGTATCAACAGCGTTTTATCAATCGGTCTTGTCCACATCACTCTATGTTTGCGCGAATCCACAACAACATGGCATTTGTGGGTAGTTTTACTTTTAACATATTTTTTAATTTTTTATCATCAAATTTACGTAATTAAAAAAATGTGTAAACATTTAAAAATAACCCTTTTTGGCTTAAAAGGATTGGTGATGAAAATTTTCAAAATATTGAAAGTATGTGTTTTTAATTGTTTTATTGCCCGTGTGGCTCTCGGGTTAGAATAAGGCCACGGGCTGTTCCCCCTATCGTAAAAGGCGATTAATAGGAACACCGAAAGTCTCCTGGGATAAGGAGACAACTCTACAAAGCCAACGGCCTTAGGGACGGATGAGCTGTGTAGAGTGGGGCAATCTCTTGTCCTCAAGGTAGGAAACTACCTTGAAAAGGCGGATGAACCACATCAGATGGTCAACGGCTGGAGAATGCAGAAGGCAACAGGAATTTTTATTGCGCATATCAAGGAGCATTGAACAATTTTCAATTAAAATTTAAAATTTTATCGAGACTTTTTTTTGGTTACCTGACCATGAAAATAATAGCATAGATTAATTTATAATAATGGAGTAAAATTCTTTTTTTTTTCAAACTAACTTTAGTTAATTTACTACAAATTTTAACTTGACAGATTTAATTTAAAATTGAATTGAATTTAACTTATAAAGTAAAATAGTATATATATAACCAATGTCTTACTATCGCATTTGGAAATTAAATTTTGAAAATTAATGTCCATTTTAGGTATTCTTTTATCAAACACAGACAAAAGTTATCAAAATCGGACTAGTCTGCGTGCTGCGATTATTTTTCCTGAAGGACATGTCTTTGTTTAATAGCTTGATTATATTCGTTTTTAATTGTGCAGAAACAAAATTTTAAAGTTAAATTACAAATTTCCTGTTCCCTACTACTAAAGAATAAAAACCCATTTTTCCTAACCCAGACTCAAGCGTGACCAACGTTATTGATCTGTACAGTTGCAGTGTATAAAGCAGTCATTACATAATTATAACAGTGGGTTTTTGCAGACTGCAAGTACAAAATCTCTTTCCATTAGTCCAATAGCGTTTTGGAACTTCACTGCTAAATCAATGTTTCCAATACATTTAAGAGCTTGATAAAAGCGTTTAATTATTTTGATCAACATTGTCACCACAGTAACAATAGTTTCTGAAAAAAAAAATGTTTGTTCAAAAAGTGATATTAAATCAAATGTACTGTTATTATACCTTCAGTCATAAAAGTCATTTGACATATTTGGTGAAATGTAGCGCCTCAACACCACGAATCTCAAGAATACATAATATCGGTTGAAACCTATCTTCATAAAACACCTTTGTTTACTTGCAATTGTTCTTTGTTCCATTCATCAGCAACTTGTTGGGCGAGTATCTAGACCATAAAGCAATTTTTTTTTATAAAATAAATTGTGAATATTTTGTATTATCGTCAACAGTGAGTTATATTATTTGTTATACCCTGAATTTCGTTTTATTTAGCACCATTTTTCCTAAATAAATAGTACGTTCATAGTTTTTTACTGACATTCTGTCACTTTCTTCATGACGTACAAAAAAACTAAGAATTACAAATTGACGAGTAATTCAAACTTCATAATCACACCGTTGTCAAGTAAGTCGACCATCAACAGCTCGTCAGCACTATGTATTTCATTAGAATACCTATCACAATATAGAATTAGGTAAATGATTCGATTAAATAGTATTGAATTGTTTATTGTAGGTAATAAGGTATTTACTTGTAGAGTTGGCATGCTATTTTTCCTTAATTTTAAACCCTTTACTATCAATATATAGTTCATACATTTAAAAATATGTCTAATGGAATACATAGAGCTGACGAGTTGCTGATGGTCGACTTATTTGACAACGGTGTGATTGTGAAGTTTGAATTACTCGTCAATTTGTAGTTCTTAGTTTTTTTGTACGTCATGAAGAAAGTGACAGAATGTCAGTAAAAAACTATGAACGTACTATTTATTTAGGGAAAATGGTGCTAAATAAAACGAAATTCAGGGTATAACAAATAGTACAACTCACTGTTGACGATAATACAAAATATTCACAATTTATTTTATAAAAAAAAATTGCTTTATGGTCTAGATACTCGCCCAACAAATTGCTGATGAATAGAACAAAGAACAATTGAAAGTAAACAAAGGTGCTTTATGAAGATAGGTTTCAACCATTTATTTTGTATTCTTGAGATTTGTGGTGTTTAGGCGCTACATTTCACCAAATATGTCAAATGACTTTTATGACTGAAGGTATAATAACAGTACATTTGATTTAATATCATTTTTTGAACAAACATTTTTTTTTTTCAGAAACTATTGTTACTGTGGTGACAATGTTGATCAAAATAATTAAACGCTTTTATCAAGCTCTTAAATGTATTGGAAACATTGATTTAGCAGTGAAGTTCCAGAATGCTATTGGACTAATGGAAAGAGATTTTGTACTTGCAGTCTGCAAAAACCCACTGTTATAATTATGTAATGACTGCTTTATACACTGCAGCTGTACAGATCAATAAGGTTGGTCACGCTTGAGTCTGGGTTAGGAAAAATGGGTTCTTATTCTTTAGTAGTAGGGAACAGGAAATTTGTAATTTAACTTTAAAATTTTGTTTATGCACAATTAAAAACGAATATAATCAAGCTATTAAACAAAGACATGTCCTTCAGGAAAAATAATCGCAGCACGCAGACTAGTCCGATTTTGATAACTTTTGTCTGTGTTTGATAAAAGAATACCTACAATGGACATTAATTTTCAAAATTTAATTTCCAAATGCGATAGTAAGACATTGGTTATATATATAACATTTTACTTTATAAGTTAAATTCAATTCAATTTTAAATTAAATCTGTCAAGTTAAAATTTGTAGTAAATTAACTAAAGTTAGTTTGAAAAAAAAAGAATTTTACTCTATTATCATAAATTAATCTATGCTTTTATTTTTATTTTTTTTAAATTTAACGCGTCAGGTAACCAAAATAAAAGTCTCGATAAAATTTAAAATTTTAATTGAAAATTGTGCAATGCTCCTTGGTATGCACAATAAAAATTCTCTCTTGAGAATTTCGAAGACTCAATCAAATATCAAATTGTTATTGGGTGCACTTTATTATTAATTCAAATTTACAACTTTGTTATAGGATTTACCTTTGTTATCTACTATAATTAAGAGTATATTTTAGAGTTTTAAAACCAGATTTGTTGGTTAATATTTTTACTTTTAATGGAAAACTAGAGCATGTAAAAATAATTAAATATAGGTTAACATGTTAGGCATCTTTTATATAATACTATTTCTAAAGAAGTAAAATTATAATCAGATTGAAGCTAATAATTAAAAATGTACCTCTATTTCAAAACAGTAGAGACATATTTTATTTTATACATATTTTTTAACTGTGTTAAATATAAACTAGTCAAACAGGCTAGCAAAAACTACCTCCATAATGGAATTACCAATAAATTCGATTTATGTTAGTTATCTTTTAATTTTGGCATAATTGACAACAAACTAAACATATATTAGGTATTCATATACAAAAAAATGATAAATTAAATTAAATATTTTTTAAACTAACATTATATTACCTTAAACTATTTAGTAAAAAATTATAATAAATATTATTTACGTTACATGATTTGCATTAAAATATTAGATTTAAGTAATTATTAAAGTTATGATTTACATTCTATTGGATAATTATATTTTTGATTTTTCTATTTTAAATTACATTATTCTTTATATAATAGTAGTATTATGACTAAAATTCTAAGATGTTTTTGTTAAAATTGAAAAATGACAAATGTATAAGTTAGATTTGCTGTTGTTTGGTATTTAACATATTGATGGTGATACGGCAAAAGGGTCTAAGCGACATATTTCAGTTTTCAGGATGGCCACTAAACGTGTATTTTACTATTTTCTTTTTTTAAATTCCCAATAACTTTTTTTTTAGTAAGAATTGGGAATTTTTCAATCATATAACTATATTATAATATATAGGAGTTATAATATATTTTTTTAACCAATAGTATAAACCGTGTCGATTTGACCCAAAGTGTCGCTTAGACCCTTTTGCCGTGTCACCATCGATATAAAATGTCACTGTCCCTTTATTAATATACCATATATTTTAAAAAAAAATTTCTGATGCATAATATACTGACGATAGTCAAACACTTATTTTGTGTTTGATTTTATATTCGATAACCGCATTTTTATATGTTTTACCGCATAATTGTCCCTAAATAAAAAAAAACATGTAAATATAAATTTATAAATTAAAACTGTGACATTATTTTTAAACAGTACTTACATTGAATTGAATTTTGAACCATTAACTTTGGTAACTGGCAATAATATAACCATTTATAATGAAATGCAAAACACATCATCACAATAATTATGCAGAATATTGTTATACTTAAATATGTATGGCCATTTCGTTTCAAGTCTTAAGCCACTGGAGAATTTAGTTTAAAACAACTTCGGCATTTTACATACAAATTTTACTACTAACTAAATTTTGGTTTATTAAATCCTTTTGTTTATTAGCTTTCATCGTAAATTGTAGTTCACAGTATAAAATGCACGTAACTATATTAGACATTTTAGAAAACAACATTAATATATAATATGTACAAAGAAATCCGCACGAGATAACTTAGAACATATTAGTATTTTATTTCACACAACACTTCGAGACGTGAGCCGTAAACATCAAAATCCAAAGGTCTTTATGGTTAGGTTAGAGTCGATCTTTTATAAACACTTCACTTCATATAAAGAGTAGACACTGAACTGTTGAAAAATATTTTTTTTTATAGATGAAAAAATATCACAATTATTAAGTGAAAATGTAATATCTTCAGAAAGTCATAGCTAACGAACAAATGGATGAACATTAAAAATTCTAACGCCAACATGTTTTTTAATTCTCTGCCTACAAAATTATAGAAGTAAAAACATATGTTACCGTTTAAAAAAATCACGTTCAACGATTTTTTTCGTACAAGCGTTGGTGATAAAAATTGTCAAAATATTGAAAAGTATAGTACATTGTGTGCCCGAAAGTATAGGGAATTTTTTTTTTCAAAATATTAATATCTTCTGAGAAAATGGAGTGTCTTACCCAAAATGAATCACCCTGTGTATATAAATATATAGTGTAGGGTTGTAACATATAAAGACCCCAAGGCAAAACCGTTTAAACCCTTATTTTTCTCAATTTGAGCTGGTACAGTAAGGTCTGGGCATAGTGGCACGGGGAGGTTATAGGCATAATTATAACTGATATTTGAAATAAATGCTATGTGAATCTCTGGACAGTTGATTTAAACCAGTATAGACTAAACCAAGCATTGTAAGAAAATATTATACGTAAGTGAGTAGTAGTAAAAGTAAAAAACTAAAACACATTATTATAAATACAATACCTTCTCAGCTCCACATGGAAGCTCAAATGGAAAATTTACACCTTGAGCGTAGTCAATTTTTAAGTTGCTATGGGTGACTGAACCAACATATCAACAAATAATTGAATATATTTGTATTATATTTCGGTTATGATACATGCGTAACTATGGAAATAAATGATTATGAACAGACTATCAACCCTAATCGTGTTCACCCTAATATCAAAAATAAATTTTAAAGCACATTATTGTCATTACGTACAATCTCAATATTTGTATTTCTAAAATTGCAGATTGGCATCAGAGCGTTCATTTTATCATTTTCATCTATATTATCTCAAATGGACCTGTAACCTCACCCGCCCCAACCCTACTGTACTGGCTTTTTAAATTATGTTGTTGTCATATACTCATCGTTGCTCTTCCAATAACAACACGTTTAATCACAGTCTTCAATCCACCTCCTAAAATAAACGCATAATGGTTTGAGTTACAAAAAAAAAAGTTTAAAATAAAATCATTAAGCTAGAAAAGTCTTCAGAATATTTAGTACACTGGGCTTTAAGTGGGGACCATTTAACTTAACGTGACTCAACCTATTAGGTTAAATAGTCATTGCATATAGCCTTGTAAAATTCTAGAAAATATTTTTTTAGTTTATATATAAATTATTCATTTTCATCAATTATTTATTTACATAGTGTTTGAAATACTGATATTATTTAAGCTTTTAATTTCTTTTTAATTTAATTTTATAAATCGTCCTAAAATCAGACGAACATAATAAACAACTTTTTTAGCTGTATATACATTGTTCATGTTAAATTTATCTTACTTTTAGACAATGCCTGCTCGATTTGTAAGTCTGTAATAAATGATTTAAAACCTTTTTGAAAACAGTAAAATTTCCAAACATAAAAATTCATACATTTTTTATAAAAGAATGATACTGACTTGTAAAGAAAACCAACTTTTTATAGTCCGCTGTTAGGAAAAAATATATATTAAATTCGTTTTTAGATTTATTTACCTTTCGTAGGTATCTGAAAAATTAAAATAATTACCAATGGCTGTATCATCTGCCAAAACTTTTACCAAGGTAGACGTTATTAAAATGTAGTAAAGATTCATTTTAACTGTAAAAAATAATGCACATAAATATAAACGCCTTATATACTAGACACGGTCTACTATTAACTGACGGTTGTCAGTTTTACAATAAAGTTATTTTGTTTTTTACCGTCTTTATTTTTATATAAAATTCGAGAAAAGTGTGACGTTCTCTGTCCTCCCTCACCACCGCTGCTGACCGAACTTTATCGTTAAATCGACATGTCGTATGCGGTATTGACTCGATACGCACAACGTGATACCCTTTTAAAGATGTTATACTAGGATCCTTTAAAGTTGATCAAAGCCAATGCCCAACTGCTTAAACCTTCCGGAACTATACTTCAGCCAGACGACTAACCCACACTAAGTAGTAATCGACCAAACGCCTAATACGGGTTTAATCGTAATTAGGGACTATTTTCAATTATGCCTAGTGCAAGATTAATGACTATTTCCGTAAGTATAGAACTTTAAAGAATAAGGACTATTTACAATTTTGATCACTAAAAAGGTTGTCCTAGCACACGTTATTCAAAAGGTAAACTTTAACTCTTAAAAATGAGACACTAAAGGTAACGTTTATAAATAAACACGCAAGTCGAGATTATACTTTAAAAATAAAGTATAATGGCACAAAACAACAGTCGATACAATAAGTTCTCCACCTAGTTAATGCTAAGCGGAGAGACCTTCCCCGGGCCAAGCCCAAGAGAGTCCTCCTGACATCACAATTTGTACGTCTTTAAATAATAGAAATAAATATAATTTTCGCTGTATAAACATTTGAACTGTTTGCCATTTGGCCTAGATACATTGCTTAGTTTCATAATTGTATTATAATAATAATAATAATACTATTTTCCCTCGCTCCTACTACAGACATAAATAAGTCTTTTATCTCGAGTCTGTCAAAATTCACGCCCCCCCCCCATCAAATCACCCATCTACCGATATAATAGATAATAATTTGTTTCTGTAACTACTATAGCAAGTAGTTTAGATCATAAATACATACATATCGCCTAAAAGAGAGTTTGATTTAGAAGAGCTAATAGTTTTTTTGATATGTGACTCTATGAAGTATCATATACAGTAATTTATACATTATTTAAATAGTTTCTGTACTGGATGTAGACTTGCGATTTAATAAAACCGACTTTACGGTTGTTAAATTAGCCAAGGAAGACTCAACAAATAGAAACATAAATAATATAATAACTTAATAAAAATGTATTGAAAGTGTACTTACAATGTTTCATGTTGGACAGTATTGCTTACATACTATAATCATAAATGCATGAAAACTTATAATACAAATACGAATTGTTAAAGTGTTAAAGTAATTTGCTTGAGCCTGCTCGATGGAATTGTATGTCGGCTGAAATAAAATTCTAAATAAGCAGAATGCAAATATATTGTAGTGTGTGTACACTGTACATGTTTACATTAGTTTGCAGCGGAGTTTTAACTGTTTTATTTTTAGCACAAATAACTCGCAAAAAAAAAAAATGATTGATTTATACAATTTTAATAATTTTATTGTGTACGCCGTTTAATCGATAAAATATCGTCTAATATATTTTACAGAAATTCACAATTTATTCTCACAATATTAAATACATTTAAACTGCAGTACACTATTTTTTGAGTATACTTTATAAAGATTAATTTTAAGTGAAACAATATAAGTAATGGATTTTGTTTATTTTTGGCAACGATTATGACATAATATTCACAATTTGACATATGTTATTTCTGACCCTAAACATTTATTACCCCTAAGCGCTTAAGTAATTTTAATGTCAAAAGTATAAATTTTATTTTAAATATATTCTGAATTTTTTCTTGCATCAATATATTTCTAATTTAATGAAAAATGTTAAACATGGGTTACGGGTTTATGAAAAAACCCCTTATTTAATTCAAAATCTTTCGATGTCTTAGCTTTATTTTGATTTTTGTATGGACAGATTAAATTGTACTCTCGTACACAGCATTTCTTTAAGAATAATAAACTCATTTTATTTTTAAATTATTGCAATTTTTTAAAACACTAGTTTATGATATTTTACAATTTTAGGCAATATTTAAAATACTTTAAAAACTTGAATGTTAACGCATTTATATACTATCTTTTAAGTATTCTTAAAAATACTGAATACAGTATAAAATCGTTTTATGTTACAATTATATTTATAAAGATGTATCCTCGAAAAAAATATTAGTGCTAAAATTTCTAATCGTATGTTTTAATTTCAACACAATTCATTCAACGAGTAAAAATTGTAAATTCCTACCAAAACATAATATAGGTACGTTATTTTAACGATAAAATCACATACACGAGAAAAAAATTATAGTTGTACAAAAAAAAACTGTACAAACATTGGTTTTACGAGTGGTTCTAAAACCAACAATAAATAATAAAAAATAATTTTAGTAAGTTTTTCACGTTCGACCGTGCAACGCGGTATACCTGGAGTTAGTTATTATTAAGCTTTCCGAAAGCACGCCAATTACGCCCACATACAGATAATAATATGATTGTTATATATTACACTTGACAAAGTAATGAAATTAAAATAATAAAACGGGCAAACCGCAAAAAAGTCCATTTATTAGAACTCATTATATGACAAACACAATAGGCACAAACCACACATTTTCTACCCGCCAAACGATCTACCGAGCCAGCTCAATCGAAATGAACCACTGATATTACACTATTGCTAACACATCCGCTACTTACCTTCTGCGCTACCTTTAAATGTACAATCAAAAACACCTTTCGCGGTACTAATGCCAAAATTATAATCCAAATCAAATAAAAAAAATCTATGGTTTTCTCCGCTCAACGCAATTGTATAACTAAAACGATTATTTTTTTATGAGATACAATTAATACTGTTTAATTGACCGCGCCGGATGTCCTTTACGCGGGTTGGGTCCGATTATTCGCGTGGTTCAATAAGTAATATACTAACGGATTGTGAAGATAAAGACGGATAAAGTGGAACGTATAGGTGATAAAGATGGTAATTACAATAACTTGAAATCTAATGCGAAATTGAAACAAATAAAATATGTATTAAAACATAAAACATAAAATTAGTAATCAATGGGGACAGGGGGGAATACTTATAAAACTAATGTCACACGGCGCAATAACCTAACAAAAAGAATAACTATATTTACATTAACATTAAAGTACTTATTTACTATGCAGATTAGTATTGTAACTGAAGTTTAACCCAATGGTCACTATGGTGGCGGATATGTAGTTGATGAGATGTTATGAATAATATTAAGATTTTTTTTTAAACTTATACTCATTTGTGCAACAAGCACCAAAATTTAACTATATATACATTTTTACACAGCGATAAATGACCATGTAATTTAACTAATGATAAAATATATTTTGGACAACAGATACAATTTAAAACGTGGTTTATGCAATAGAATTTATTTTAACTCCTGTTAACTGAGTTTATCACAGTGTAAATATTTGGTGCAACCCGGCATTAGAGTATGAATTATTAGAATCTAGATAAACAATTCGATCAAAAGTTTAGGAACTCGTTGAAGAGAAGGTTGTGATAAGCATTAACGACACGCTGATGAGATACAAGAAAATGTACAAAAGGCGAATGAGTTGGAGAATAACTGGATCGAACAAATACATATTGATTATTTCAGTAAGATGCTTTTATATTTTAGGCGCAAAATATGTGCGTAATCTTGAGTTTGTCACTTAACAAAGAAAAATAAACAAATAAACGCAAAAAACGTAAAGGACAAATATGGAAACGATGTAACAGAAAATGGAGAAATATTAAAAAGATGGATGGAATATATTTCAAAACTTTATGAAGAAACATACAACCCACAACAAACGAATGAAGAAATATCAAAGGGGAATGAATCAAAGATTTCAAAACCTTACATTTTTAAGAACACATGCAATTAAAGATACACGTGTGAACTACACTTGTTACACGACTAATATACCTCTAAGACTATTTAAATGTTTTTTTTTTATTTATTAATCTTATGTAAATACAATATATTGCTAAAAAAAGAACAACTCGTAATTTAAGAAAATGCGGCAAGTGGCGGAGAGTCGCAAACCGAATTCTAAAATGTCAACCAGAGCATAAACTGTGTTAGTGTTTTTTTTGAGTTCTCACACACAACTTAATCTTAAAGTTTATCAAAAAAGTAAGTCATATTTAAAATAACTTTTTTTCGATGGTATGTTTTTATATTTTTTCTTGTTGCCATTATAGAGTTTTTAAAACTGATATTTACGATGAAATCAATCAGTCTTCATTGTGTCGTGTTATTAGCAATTTATTTATTTGGCCTCATCGTAAGTGTTACATTTCATAATAAAAAACATAACAAAAATGAATATTTTTCAAATGTATAAAACTATTTATGAAATGTTTGGTTTTTATAGAAACATAATATTTTCACAATGTTTAAATAATATTAATATTTTACTTTTTATATGCAATATAATGTAACTGAAAACGAATGGAGTGATCTTTGATATCATGCAAACCATTTATGTCTCTTAATATACAAAGCTATCACTAATTGCTAGAGCGTCTATAAGTTCATAACATTTTCTTTTGACCTATGTTCACTGAAGCTGTAAAGCTATTATACTTTATTACGACTGGTACTTGAGGACAGTCGACCAGAACTCTATGATACTACTAATAGTACTATGTATGTATGTATGTCTTTCAGATTTCATTAGTTGGTACGCCGCCCAAGGAGGAGACAACGGACGCTATAGAAAACCTTAAAAAAAACCTTGTTGAAACTGATTTAATAAAATATTTTGTACAAGGTGATGTAACAAGCTGTGAGTATCTAAAATATTATTTTGGTTTATTTTTGTCTTATAAGGAACAGATGAATAAGGTTAATTAAATTAATCCTATTTGAATTCTGTAGACACCGCTGACCCTAATTTTTTGGGTAGATAGTTTTAGGAAACCTATGTTTGTTTTATTGTCAACTGTACTTAGAATAACATAATCGTTAAAATATGTACTTTTTGGAAACAGTTGTTGAAATCTTAAATAGAAACCTGATCCTAGCGATTTTAGATTTTATTAAACAGCTTTTAAAATTGTTTTTCATATTCGTGTCCAGCTTCTACATTCAACATGTACCCGAACTATATTAATGCGGTTAATAATGCAAAAGCATTATTATTAACTAACAATTTTCACGGTGGACGCATAGCATTATTCAATGCAACAAAATCTATGCTAGTCGACAAACCAGAACTGATAAAAAACCAAATAACTAAGAACCAAACACAAGAAAAAATAATAAAGGTCGTCGACTCGTTTGTAGAAGACGTAGAAAAGGAAAGATATTCAACTTTTACCTTTAATATAAAATAAAAATATTGTTTTGATTTGAATATGATAATACATTTGTTTCATTTGTTTGCATTTTTAATATTTAGTAGATACAATAAACTATATATACCTATTTCAAATTGTGATTAATGTTTAATTTTTTACGTGTTATCCTTTTGTCATATATGAGATATTTCACATAAAATTTTGAACTATTTGACTTTTACTTAGATTTTGTTAAGTTTTCTTATACATAAAATCATACGCTAGAGCATTTCATATCCGAATGTAGTTCAATTCAAATCTTCACTTGCATACTAGATAGACTTCTGGGGAGGCATCACTAATACTTAGAAAAGTCTAATACGACAAGCTTAAAAAAAAAACTGATTTAGTTGCTGGTAGACAGCGGTACAGTCGTGACTACAACAGCTTGATGATGAACTCTGCAATGAGTTCGAAACGTCGACCTAAAAATACTAACGAGGATATATCCGAAAATCAGCAAAATGGAATTTCAATCCAAGAAAGCTTTAACGCATTCCAAATATTAATAGGTTTGTGGTTTATCGGGGTTTACATACTATAGGTTTTAAAATTACTAACTCAGCTCAGCGAGTAACGTTTCCGTTTAGTGTTTTCTCTTTTATATTATATTTTTATTCAAAGAAGGAACTTAAGAATGTCATTAATTTTTTTTAATGTGCTTTCAAATTGCATATAAGTTAGTTGAATTCCTATTTAACGTTTCCTATGAATAAAAGTAAATTGTTTTTGCAAACATTTTAAAAACCCCTATCCTGTATGCTGTGATGACACTAATTATTTTTTGAAGAAGAGCGTAAAAGACAATATTGTAAATATCGAGTACTCAAAATCTATAACCTAATTGCACATGACCGTTTGCACTAACTATAATTCCATTTTAAGTAATGTTGAACCTACAGATAAAGTGCTTTTATTCTAAACTTAAGGTTTGTTGGTGCAAACAACACCAAATATACTTAAATTTTTTTTTTATTTAATCTAAATTATAAATAACGGTGAAAATATAGCAGTAGATAAACATAGTTAAAATACACTTACCCCGTCTACTGTGACCCACGAATTTCAGGTCGTTGAATTTGTCTATTCGATTCTTGATTAGTGCCGACGAATTGTGCAGTTCAGCCGGACAGTTTGCGTTGCACCTCGGTAAGGACGACTACGTTGATCGCGCCTGGCTATTACTTTACAAAATATATTATAATTTATATCTAAAAAAAAATAGATAGTTTGTTTCGGCCGTTTATTTGTTAAAAGAGTTGAAATGTTTTGAGCCAGCAACCATTTAAATAAACCATTGCTGGTAACACTACGTTGGCAAGTATTGAACGATTGTGTACAATCAAACAAATATTTTATAATTAAAATTTTATGATCGTTTTTTCAATAAACACCTACTCAGAGTAGAAAAATACAAAGTATAATTAATTAAATATATTTGTAGTTACTTTACCTATATTAGTAAATTCAACACATAATAACACATTACTTCGTTTGATTTTTGTTATTAAATAAGGATTTATAAAAACTTTTTTTTGTAATTTCTTAATTTTTGCGTTCCTTCAAATGTTGCGCCCGACGCGTGGGCACCTTTTGCCCCCCTTGTTACGGCTCTGTCTCTTCTAGGAGAAAGGGAATATGATATATTTTTGATTAATCAAGGTTTATCGGTAGTACTATGTTTAAAGAATACTCAATACAAATTTTAACTAATTTGACCATTTTTAATAGTTAAATTTAAAATTAACAGGTTATGAATTCATATTATATTGTTAATTACAATAAATGGGTAATTATGACAATACATTTTTATAGATAGACGATCAAATCTAGTCGTGTAAAACTAAATACTAAAAATGTATTTTTAAGTGCACAATTAGCATAAGGTACAATGCTTTTACAGATATTTGTAATTGTACCTGCCAACACTAGACCTCTATTACTTACTCGCTTACTACTATTACTGTCACTCACTTGCATGTAATACTTTCTGACTGTTTTTGGTTTAGGTTATTAATTAATAGAAATCAGATAATAATGTTTTTTTTATTGGACACCGTAATATTTCAATTCATAAATACATAAATATATTTCAAATATTATTATTATCATTATGGTTATTGAACATTGTCCAATTAATGGTGTTTAAGATAATTCTCATGGACGAAATAATATCCTTTTCATGAAATCCGCGAAGCTTACTCTTGTTTTACCTAAAAAGGGAAAATTGATTTGTTTTATTAGGAGATGACTAATAACCGTCGTTAGTTAAATCATATTAAAACTGTTTAAATTAACTGTACCATTGAACTCTTTCATTGTAGAGTTTAGGTCCTCTTTTCCACCAGAATCAAGAATCACAAACAATGTGGGCGTGCATCCGGTGAATAATATTTATAAAATAAAATGATGTGTAATCACAAATTAATAGCATTTAAGTTAACTTAATGGCTCTGGGGAAAAAGCTGCATAAAAAAACAGACCATTTACAATATACACTTAAGTTAAAGAATGCACGCACCTTCAGGTGTATTTTGATTGATTGTAGGGTAGTTTTCCGTAAACAATTTAAATTAAAGAAAGTAATTATTTCCGTCCCCAGGTCGTTACGCGGTTTTTTTTCTTCTAAAATGTATACAAACATTACACATACGATACAAAAAAAATTACAAAAAATATTTTGACATCGGCTAATCTTGCGCCTTTGGCGTATCGTATGTCTAGGAAATGATTTATTTTAACTATAACAATCGGTCAATATATATGTATATAATAAAAATATGTAAAACAAAGGCATTATTAACAAACAGGTTGTCTTTAAAAAGACAGTTTTAAAAGTTGACCACCGTACCGCTGCGCCTAAAACTTAATATAAAAGTCGACTTAATAAGACATACATATATATATATATACTTAATGAAATACAGTATAATTAATTGATAAATAATTTTATATAGCCCCTAAATACACATTGCTTTGGAAAATTAACATTTAAATAAGAATAGAATCAATTATGTGGTCAGACATTTTGGGTTTGATAATACAAGCAACTCGGACGTCATTTAACGTAAGTACCCTTTAAAATTGTAAGTGTTCTCATAAGAAAAATAAAATATTTTTATTAAAATAAAAAATAAATAAACGAAACTATTTCAAAATAATTTCATATAGTTACGAAAATCAGCATGCGCAAAATTATGCACATAAAAATAAAATCGCCGTAAAAAGAAAATATTGGTTGCATCTGCACACCTTGTGTCAATAAAATAAATTCGTTAAAATCCAATTTAATGTGAACATAGTCAAAAACAGTTAATCGAAAACGAAACGCCGTGTAAAATATCAGTCATTATTTCATTAACTAATCCGAAATTATTTTATAAAGCCGAAAAATTAATACGCCGCATAATGTAATGACAACTCGTGATCTGACATAATAGTCGTCCATTGGTTGATAAAAATAATAAAATATTATTCAACAAGTAAAATAAGTCAATCTGAGATCGTCAGAGACAGTGCCGTGTAAAAAACATGTCAACGGTAAAACCGGACGGTCACCGGTGGTTAGCCGGGAAAATATTTGCCAAATAATAATATAACAGTCAATCTGAACAAACGCAGAGACAAACAGCCGTATAAATAAAATATAAAAACTCAACGGTAACCAACCGGAAATATGTATTTATTCACTACCAAAATCGCTGATGACATTCGCGTATTAACAACCAAAATATTTAAAATTCAAAAATTCGATCCGGACGTATAAAATAAAGGTTAGCTACTCCTTTCTCTTAAACTACCCATATGATCGACACTCGAAATTCAAAGATATGTGTTATATGGTGTGGTAAAAATGTTGGTCTCCAGACCAACGGCAAAATAAATCAATAAAATATTGAACTTTGCGGTTAAAATGCGGCACTTAGGCGGCAATATCGGCAACAATATAGGTATGCGGCAATTTAAAATTGCGGCGATCTATGGCCATGGCAAAAACGGCAATTGGCAAATAAAAACATACAAAATTAAAATTCAAATTGATTATCTTAAAAGCGGCAACGTGCGGCCGAATATGATCGCCTCCTTGGCTGCGGGCGGCAACGTGCGACTAAAGATGAAACAAACGGCAAATGGGTACTATTTAGTACGCGTCGGCAAAAACGATGATGTAAATAAAATCGGCAAATAATTCGGTAGTATTGATGACTTAGCAATAGGCGTACGGCAGAAGTAGTAAGTGAATATTAAATTCTAATATAGTTGGAAAAAAAAATTGACCTAGTTCATATTATCCTAGGCTCACAAATAGGGGTCGCGACTAAAATGGACCATAAAATGACCTACTTCTGGAAATTACAGTAATACATAAATGACGTTCCGATCCTAATTGCTTATTTATATTTACGGGGCAAAATATAAAGATAATTATTTTTACACGTTTGCATAATTGCACGGCACAGACCGATAATATTTACTCTTTTATATTTTGATAATATAATTTACTTTGTCTTGAGGGAAAAAAAAAATCACTTATTTATTTAATATTATGAAAAATAATATTAAAACCTTCTAACTAATATTACAATAAAAATTGTCCCAGAAATTACAACGTCAGCAAAACATTGCGATCACTGGCACATACGGGTGTGTGCGTGTATATGTGTATATATCGTCTCGGGTACCGTCTGAGATTGTACATGTTACATTATTGTTCTCCGTTAAAATCATGATCATCACTTTTAAATACGTTGTTTTAAATTTCTGTTCTAACGGTCAAGGAATCGTATTATAATATTTTATAATATAAATACGATAATAGTATAAAAAAGAATAACTAAGAAATCAAGCGGAACCAACGCAGATTAAATCACGATTTCGACGTTTGCCAATATGTGTTTTATATGTTATTTCGAGTTTAAACTAGTTGATTTGAGACCTTGAATACCTCGGTTTTGTCGGAGCTTTTGTCCATTTCCGCCCACTCCTTCAATGAACGGTGCAAATCTTGCTCAACTGTATACAAGTTAATCAAATGTTAATATTCCTTTTCAATAAATCAGTTATAACGATATCATTTTGCCTGACATATTATTATCAATAATGTTATACATAAAGCTTGTCATTCATGTTAATATTTTTGTTAATACCTTAATTTTTACTCGGCGTTAAGCATTTATAGCAAATAATATTACACAATGCAATTTAAAATTTATAAAGAGTCTCTAGGGATATTTTTGAGTAGCTTCCTGTCCGGCTAGGGTATACCTAAGTATTAAAATTTGATAAACCACTAACCAATACTAAAAAGATAAAAATTGGAATATTTTCTAGTATTGTGCTACAAAATTTCAGTTATTTTTGAGAGTCAGTTCAACAAATGCTGTCCGAAAGATATGTAATATAATTTTTTATCAGTATGTTACCTGAATTGTATTTAAAAATAATTTTATAATTTGTCCATTCCGTTCCAAAGGTTTTTTCCACGTCTTGTGCGAATCCCATCTGAATAATTGTGTTGGTATTTTTGTAATTTTGATACAGTTCTTTCAACTTTATCAATTGATCACTGTTTAGTCCGACGCTCTGAAATAAAGCTTGACGTCTATCAAATGTATTGGTAAACGTGCTGTGTAAACCTATTGCCGATGACGTGGCACATGTACACACGTGTGTGTTGTATCATACATAATCGGAATGTATTTAAGTTTTTAAGTTTGCACTATCCGATGCGAATAATTAATAAACAGTAGGTACCACACTCTTGTCTCTTACCCAGGCTGACGTCAGGAAATACACCGCGCAGACAATAAGGGCGCTCTTGAGATGCATAGTTTTGTTCGATTTTTAAAATAACAATAAGAAATCAATCGAGTACTTGTAATATTTTTTTTTTTTTTTTTTATTAAAATAAAGACAATATTTACAATCTGTATACAATAAAACAATAGGTAAAAGAGCTGAAATAGAAAACTAGACAAGACGACGTGAAAGAAGGGAGCGTCCATTAACACTACTTCCAAATAGGAATTTAAATTTTCAGTTTAAGGGATTAGTACTTTTTTACATTTTTTTTTAAATTGTATGTTAAGAGTTGAGTAAATCGCGTGGCCAGTTCCGTTTTAGTCGGCGAGGAGGATTGTCGGGAATTGTGAGAGAAGCTAGCTTAGATATAAGATGATTAGAGTGGTTGAGAGCGTTTGTATGGAATTTTGTATAGTGGTAGGAAGCAAGGGATGTTAGCATTGGTATGTTGAGGTCGTTGTGTAGGGTCCGGTTACTTACATACCGGGGAGCGTTTGTGATGAGACGTAGGCTTATTGATTGAAAAGATTGAAGGATGTTTAAATTAGAGATTTTAGTAGTTCCCCAGACTTGAATACCGTAGGTCATTGCTGGACGTAAGAGTTGTTTGTAAATTAATATTTTGTTATTTAGAGAAGTTTTTGATTTAAGGAGATGTCTAAGCTTGTGAAGTGTAAGGTTTAGCGATTTTCTTTTGGTCTTAATGTGAGTTGCCCAAGTAAGACTATTGGTATCGAAGTCCAACGACGAATGAACATTGAAACAAGTGTTCTCTTTGCGGCTTCGGTGTTGCGTTGACCCAATTGCAAAAACAAAATATGTTTGCCAAAACATATTTTATTATGTTCTTGGATATTATGCTCGATAGCACCGTGATACATTTACTAAACAAATACAACTGTGTGTTTTTATATTTGTTTGAACCTAGTATCCACACATTATAATACACAGTTATAAAAAATAATAGTAGTCATAACAATTTACATTAAATGTACAGAGTGAACATTTTATCACGACCCACTCAGAATCTCATGGTGTTTAATTATTAATTTGATTAATTTTTTTTTTTAATTTCTTCGATTAATGTTGGTTTTAACCAATTAGGTTTTAGACTGGTACCCGTGTACGCCTATTAATTCGACCTAGATAGTTAAAATTTGCATTTTTTATGTGGCTGGCTGAATGATACTTAACTCAACTTTTACGAAAGAACGTCTCATACCACAATGGTGTAAACCCCATCAATACGTAATTCAAATAAAAACTAAGCCAGTAAAGTAAATTTGGGCTATAGCGGGGATAGAACATAGTGAAAACGAAGAAGTCAAAATTATTCAAGCATTATTACATATAAAAGTGATTAAATCACTTTAAAATAAAAGATTTGATGTGAAGTTTTGATTAGTATAATCAAACCAGGACAGTCCGAACCAATCGCAATACTGGCTTTTTTATATTGTAGGTGTGAATAATAAAAAAATCTATTGCTTAGTTTAGTGCGCACATAAGTTTTGATATAAAACGTCGAGTGGTTTTTTGTTCGTTATTATTTGTTGATGAAACACTTGGTAACGATGGTAATATACGAATGTTTACAATAAGTATTTTACTATAACTTATGTAAATAGATTGTACTACCTGATCAAACATATAAAAACACAATAAACCAAACGAAATATGTTTAAAAAAATCTTATAGTACAAAAAAATATACCTACTTATTCGAGGTGACATTGCGCTGAAAAAAAAACATTATACCCACACATCGATTTGAAATCTAATAACTATTATCACCCATGACAAATAGTTCAAAAAGTTTATAATCTATGTATTCAAATACTTAAGGGGAACTGAAAGAGGTATCCATTTAGGGGCAAAGGATAGGCAGTTTTTAATAAAAGTGTATCTATTTACTATTTTAAATATGCCGACAAGTATAGTTAAGGGAGGATGCTTGGGGAGGGGCTATTAGTGTTAATGCTTTTTCCTTACGTACTTAAATCGTGTGCATTAAAAATGCATTTTTATAGGCTATAATGTAAAAAAAAAAATATTAGAATATGTATTGTTTTTACTTTAGTACAAACTTTAAGGCTATTGATTTGTATAATTAAATTGTATTTGAAAAGATTTTCTTTTTCTAGCCCCATTTTTGAATTCTACATTCACCCTGGGTTACATCAGAGATAAATTATTTTACTAAATATCTTTCATACGACTTGTAGAGTAATAGTTATGATTTGTTTACTGTTCCTTTTTTACAGTAAAATTCGTTAAAAATATAAAAATGTTTTATAGCATTTTATAATATTTTTTTAATTATTATGAAATATTTCTATCACATAACATATTATAACTGCACGCAGGCCCGCCCTTATATGTCTAATCTTCCGAATTTCATCCATTTAACTTGCGTTTTAAATTATTTTTCAAATCTTATGTTAACACAAAAGCCAACAATGTATTTCCTTACATTATAATACACCATAATTTTCAACAAATTTTATAGTGTAAATTTCTTATCCAAAAAAAAGTTAACAAAAAGTTAAAAGTTAAAAAAAAAAAATAACAATATAAATAATGACCAACAACTGTAGTTGTCATACATTTTTTAGTTTTTACATCATGGGTTTACTTAACCGAATGCAATATGATATTATGAAATTTAAATTCAAAATTATTGTTTTATCCATTACATAACCCTTGTCAACACTCTTAATTAATTAAATGTACGTAACTAAGTGCGTACAATCTAATTAACCGCATTAAAATTACAATGGCTCTCCTAACTTGTTAAAAAAATCACTATAAGCCCCCTATAAACTTGATTCTATACTTTTCTCTTGGGGTAACATAAAGTCGAAACTGATATTTTTAATATTGCTTGTTCATTGTCGGTGATCGTTTGCACAAATTCTTATGTAAGTTTAAAATTGTGTACATAGTGCTCCGCTGAGACCCCGCCATTACTATTACTCATACTACTATAATAGTGAGGACATGTAATATTATACTCTACTTGGTAATAACTTCAGAGTTATGTAAATATAAATATGTTATTCATAACCAAAAATGACAAATGTTGCTTGTGTTAACAAATTCGCTTAAACAATTATTCTGCAAAATACATTCAGATTTTTATGTTTCGGTCGACAAAATAAAAGCCATTCCATCAGTCGTAAGAAAACTATTGAAGAAGCCAGTATAACTATCATTGCAATTATTTGGTAAGTAATATACGAAATTGTTTTCCTATATTTAATGGTTTTATTTATTTTCTAAATACAAAATGTACTAAATGTGTACAAAATAATATTTTTAAATATAATTACTTTAAAAAATCACTTTTTTTTTATTGGAAATATTTACAATCTGTAATAATATGAAAAATAAGTAAAATGACTAATATTTTTTTTTACAAAACTGGACGACTTGAGTGAAGGGGGCATCCTAAGACTCTACTTCAGGTGTAAAAAAAACTTACGGACTATTTAAATAATATTTTTAAAAATTATTCAAATACAATTTTAAACGAAGAACTTTTATTTGAATAATTTGTCATCTAGATGATTATTTAGATATATTTTATTATGATGATGCAGAACTCTGGGTATAACTACGCATGGCATAGTACGTATCAAAGCGTTTATTTGAAAGTAATTTTATCCCAGTAAGCCAGTACAGTGGGGTCGAGGCAGAATGGGATCAAAGCAGTAGGGACGGTTGAGTGATGCGCACAGATAAAAACATCTCTACTCTCCACCCTTCCTCCCGTCACATCTTTTACATTTTAATAACTTTGAAACTAATTATCCAAAACTGGTTATCGACCGGTCAAAATATTCAACGAATTATTTTTAATTCAAAAAAGTTATCAAATATGTATGTAACCACTTGAAAAACTCAAGTTTATAATATTTTAACACATAAGAGGCGGAGTTATAATTTTTTAAAATTAATACTAAATTTGTCCCAGCTAATAGTTATACAATTTAAAAAAAATAATTGAAAAAGTCTAATATCTTCTAAGTTATTGACTGGTCCATAGTTAACCAATCACGCAGTATTTCGAGTCTATATAAATTGTTTTTTTGTATTGTAGTGTAGGATTTTCAGCACTTGTTTAGTTGTATACCATATTATACTTACATGATATTTATTATAGCTCCTCCTCTAGCCGTAGTCACTCTAAAATGTTTACATATTGAACACAAAAAAAAACATGTACTTTTAAACAAGTGTTTTGCACTAACTGCCAAAAATGTTATAATTATTGTTAAAGTACTTAAAAAATAGTTATCCAAAACTTGTTATCGACCAGTCAAAATGTTTAGTACATTATTCTCAATTTAAAAAGTTGCTATCAAAAAAACTAAGTAGGATTTATAAAATTTTGTGGAAATTCGAGATCACTTGTTACAAAATCACTAAAATAAATTAAATTATTGATTGAGCTAAGTGAGATATTAAGTGGCCTATGATAATCACACTGTACAAGTACTGTATATGTATGAAAACCATTGAAGCAGTCAGTATTTCTATCATTGCAATCGTTTAGTTAACACTACCGAACTTCAAAACTGGTAACATTGTATGCTTTCATTGTGTGTTTATTAATTTCTTATAATTATGAACATTATTAACTTATTTGTGACACATTAATGAACGGAGAGGAATTTAATTAATTTACTAAGAGATCGGAAGGTATGAACAAAGTCATGAAAAATGCCATTTAATAAGTATTTTTATTGATTTTAATACAATATTTTTGTTTGGCATATTATTTGTAGCAATAAGGTACTATCACCCAAAAAGACAAATAATAAAACACGATACAGTCAAAAATCCGTTTGTTTTTCATAAAAAAAAAAAAAATAATGGTAAAACTTTAAAAATTTGAATTGTAAAATCCAACCGTTCTTGTAACGGGGTAACTTTAAGAATTTGTGATGCTTACACTGTTAGCTTAACAGTCATTTGTCTTTTGTCTACATCGCTTCAAGTTCTTAGGCTCCCAAAATGAATACGTATAACGTGTTTAATGTAACCAATTAAAGTTCGTCTTGACATAATTAAAAAGGCACCTGTGTGTTTTCCATCGAAAACAACTCTATTCAATTTAACCTTACCCTAAAACGCGAGAAACGACAATTTTGAAAATTAGTATACACTTGTCAATAATTGTTTTTCAATCTTTCCTGTATTCGTATCTTGTGGTAACGTAATCATTGCATCAATATAAGAAAACCATAATTTTGTACCTGCATGTTTACAACAAAAGAAGTTTAAACTACACTATAAAGAAATATTCCCATATGGAGTTAAAAAATAACCATAGGCAACTCTACAATGAATGTTTAGATTTTATTGTAACTATATCTTCGTCTAATATAACATGTTTTAATTTGCATTATTATTTACAGACAAAAATGAAAATAATCTTTGTTTTACTCTCCTGCGCTATTTTAAATGTTTTGGCTACTTATGGTATGTAATTCGTTTTTACAAGCACCTACTCAAGGTATTATTTCATTATTTGTTTGAGGTTAAAAAAACTAAACAAAATTAAATATTCAACTTTTTTACAGATACTTTAAACAATAGAAAGACACTTGAAATTACAAGTCAGTAAATTTGTTGTTTACAAAATACTTTTTTAAGTTTTAAGACTTACATTTTTTATACATATATCATTACAGACTTCCTCTTTCGCAGACATAAAAGTGCCAGTAAGACATTCTTAAAGTTATTAATACTATACATTTATTGGTTTTGTTTTACTTGCTATTTACCTGACTATGAGGTAATTATTATTTATGAACTATAATCTCTATAAAAAAAATGTTTCAAATTATTGGACTTTGCGTGTATTGTATTTTTAAAAATGGGTTTTTATCGAGGAACTCCAGGGATTATCATTAGTGGTGAAGTCGAGGTTTGATGAGGATAATAGCTCAAATAATGCAACTAGTGTTGAGAATATTTCTCAAAAGAGTCTCCTACAAGAACAATATGATTATATATTAATTCAGTTTATACAATATTATTGATGATCTAGAATAAATATTATAAAAGAATTGTGTAATAAAATTCCAAGATGGTTTATCACTAATTAAATGGACCACGTTTAACTCAAATTGTACTTCTATTCGGAACAATTTGCGTTAAAACAAAATATTGCAATTATGTCGCATTAAAACTTCATTTGATTTTTTTAAACTCAATCAATTATTTGTTTATTTCAGACAACATGTGTGACAAAATAAAACATGTTGTTGCACGACGTGAACTCTCGATGGGTAATTATTATTCTACAACAAAACCAATTAAGTATGCTAGTAGGAGAAATGTTTTGGAAATGATACAAAAATTATTGAAAAAACAATGAAATTATTAAATTTGAATCTCTCAATATATTTTATTTGTAAATGAAACTTCATTATGATTATTAAACATATATTTGTTGTAATCATTATTTCAGAGAAATTGACTTTTATGTTCGCACTACCTGGTAATACTTGAAAATATTTCCATATATTATGTAGTTGTTGGTTATTCACAAGTATAAAATGTTTTCGTTTTAATTTCAGAACAAGATTTTGGACGCGACCCTGATCTCCGTAATTCATATTTCATAATAATAATACACTACACACGGCTTTTACATTCGTTTTTAAATTATGAGAAAAATCATAATATGTATATTAGTTTTTCCATAACTATAAACATATGTAAAAATCCATTTTGTTTTAAATTTTAGAGAGGGAATTGGAGCTTTCGCTGCAACAATGGTTACTCGAAGGTTCAGGTAATTATAAAATTCAACATATTTCTGCAAACACTTTACAAAACTGAAAGTTTTATTTTAATTGTACTTAAAAACAATATCTTATGCGCCATACTTATTTCAATTTGTGAATATCAATTTTTTAATTTATTGTTTAACCAACAGTATAAGGTTTAATTGAACGAAATTGACCCTTTTCATAAACGACGAGTTGCTTAAGTGACATGAGTTACCTAACTCCGTTGATGAATAAAATTACTAAATCATAAACAGGATTGTGTGCAATAGAGTGATGCAAGACAAAAATACTTCACCAAAATAATTTTTTATCAGTTTTAAAATATTTAATTCGTTAACAAGGACTTTTAATTTAATAATTTAAATAATTGTTTGAATATCGATACTAAAATGAACTATCATATGAATTCGACTTCTTTCAACTGAAAACGATCCGCCGCAGAACATATTTATTAAAAAATATCTTTTTTTTTTCTCAATATCATATCCATGTTACTTGTAATTTTCAACAAAATTGTGACTAATCATTTTTCATAAATAAACGATTAAATGAATTAATTGGCCTATGTAATCTTAGTTTTAAAATTACTGTTACACGTTGATCTAATAAAATACTTATTTTAAATAACCGTACAATTATTTATTGCATATTTTTATGTTATTGTTACAGGCTTGACTGCCGATGAGGCTGCAGCTTTTGGTAATTACGCTTTATTCGACAGTCGTAAATAGCGCTTAAAATCTAGATAGTCATTCGAAATGTATTTTAAGTCAATACATGTTTCCGTAACGTAATGAGAATAAGCTGTTAAATTAAAAAAAGGTTCAATTTGCAAGTTGATAATAAACTAAACGTAACATTATACAAATATTTGTTCGACAACTATACGTTCGTTTAACCGCTGTATATTTTAACGTTCAAAACCCGTTACCTCCAATTGAACGCAAAAAAAAAAAATGATACTTTTATTGAATTTTTAAGCTTATAACGTAACATGTTTTAACTTCAATACCGCTACCTTGAGCTGAATTTTAAACCTTTATTTGCAAAAATGTAATGAACAAATCGTTTTTATGCGTTCAGTTCAGTGTAACGGTTTTTAAAGTTAAAACGTATGACGCCATAGGTCTTCAAAAACCGTTACACTAAACTGAACGTATAATAATGATTTGTTCATAAATTTTTTTTTCATAAACATATTTTAGATTTTAGAACACATCGTAAAATCTTAGTCAATGAGACATAAAAAAAAGTTTTCTGTAGTTTCAATTTATATTTTACGTTTTCAAACCATTTTTTTTTTCATTATGCTTTGGATCGTTTTTCAAGTTCAATAATAAAAAAAATTACACCAAATGGCTTTAAAAATAATATACATTTTTTTTTCATAATCAAATTATTTTTAATGTAAATCATAACACATTTTTGTATAAAAAATATATTCGTTTAATGTAACTCAAACAAATCACAAATATCTATTTTATTAATTTACATTTATATCTACCTTAAAAATATTAAACAACAAGAATTAGTCTTTTTTTTAATTATTTTAATAAAAACTAATGTCAGTGAATTTACTTTATTGATAAAATATGTAAATAAAAATTTACAAAAATTGTCGAAAAAGTAATGGCATCTAATAGTGCATGGAGCTGACGCTATATAATTCAATAAAAATAAATAAACACTTACAAAAATCAACTATACAGAAATAATTATTCTAAAAATGTTATATAGAAATTTATTGGAAGTTAACAAAAAAAAAAAGTTGTCAACGCTTGATTTTTAATAGTCAAACAATTAAGTGGTAAATTAAGGGTAATAAAAAAACGTTCTACTTTATAATTGGAAGTTTATCGAGAAACCGATTTGACCATAATATCTTCAAGTAGAATAGAAAACGTTGGTCGTTCAAAATAAATTCCCGTCGAGGATACTAATGTTTATGGCTTCTAAATTTTACAAGTTACAAAAACGTTTGTTAGGTATAAAACTTTTAATTTGCAGGTTGCATGATAGAAAAAAAAGTTCCAAAATTTATTAGAATCTTCAACAGGATATTTTTTTAAAAAAAAAGCTAAGAACATAACATTAATTTTTTAGAAAAATTGGTGTAACTATTAAATTCATACACGTGTAAATCAGTCGTATGATCGAAGGTTTAATTAAAAATAAATTAATTAACCTTGATCTAAGTAATATTAATGTCTATTTCTAACTACAGTGGTTTACTCAAACTATGGGAGAAAACGTTACGTGCCAATGACATAATTTCCCAAATGTTAACATTGATCAATGTGATAATGATTGTTAGTGTTAGTGATTAACACTGCTGAAAATGATGTGTAGAATGGCTTGTATTCACTATTCGAAATTTGTGTGCGATATTTATTTCTATTGGCATTTGGATTTTCAGTGAAAAATTGAATCAGTAATCGTAGTTGCCTACATCTCTTACCATAACAAAATATCATAAAAAGTATTTGACATTGATTAAACTACTATTCATTTAAGTTTCTTCTTTGTCTTCAAGTTGGTCACTGTAACTTGTCAGATTACTATATAGAATTTGTCATTCAACAGTTGTTTCATTTAAATAACATACTAGTCCAATAAAATATTATTTGATTGAAAAATAATAGATTTTGCGAGTAATTTTTTTTTGAAATAGACACCATGTAAACGTATAATTCCAATATAAACCTAATTGAACGATTTGTGTGCTTGTTTAATTGTGTTTTTTTGACTAATGTAATTTGTAAATTTAGAATTCCGCCGTGTTTACTTAGGTTACAAAATTGCCATAAAAAAAATATTTTACAAAATTATGTATACTTTGTTTAACGTATTTATTGTACTGTTCAGCTCGAGGTCGAAAAGGATTGAAATGTCTTGGAGAAGAAAGAAGAAGTATGTTAAAAGAAGTTTTAATCAATATTATAATGGGTAAATAGTAAACCAATAAAAAAAATAGTGATTATACGGAAAAATGTCATATTTGGACCAACAAACATTACAGTTAACACAATACATTTATAGTGGAAATAACTACATATATGAAGAAAAGTGCTTGAAGAGAAAAGACTGAGGATGAGCAGGAGTAAAACGGTGACAATCGTATTTAATTCTGGAGAACGTTATAGGGTAAGACAGGTAATGCAGTTGGATGATAATGAAGTGTGTGAGGTCGATAGGTTTAGTAAGAAGAAGTCAGTAATTATTAATAAACAATTTTATTTTTCTCTCTTCTGTAAAATTTACATTTTGTGACTCAATACACTTTTTCTCTTGGATGTAGATATACGATTAGCCTTAATTTTAGTTTGTCCAAATATGTATTTTTTGTAAGTGCAGCAAGCTAAGTTTGGATAACTTTTAAAAACTTTTTTTTCTTAGACCCAAGGAACCACAATATGAATTTTGAACACACATGTCGAATCATAGGATTGTTCCTAAGTACAAATCCAACAAATTACGTAACATCTGCTGAGGTTTTATCCGACAATACTTGTGTCATAAGTCAATGGGCGAGAATCTTGATGTCATGCAAATACGTTGATAATCTTATACTTTTTGTAAACAACGATAGACATGACGTGACAGGGGGTAGCGTAATTTCTTTTATAAATAATTATTAGTATATTAGCACACTAATATCAAAATTGTTAAATAATCTAATGTACTTTATAATAAAAAGTCTTTGCTCGCTGTAATAAATTATTTCATTACTTTCAGTCATAATTTGTATTAGCTTAATATGCAGGGTGATCCAACTAACGTAAGACACTCATTTTCTCGGAAAATATGAATATTTTGATAATTTTTTTTTCTTTCTAAACTTAAAGATTTATATTTTACTACATTTTTCAATATTTGGAATATTTTTATCGTCAAACCTTATATGTAAAACAAGTATCGCATTTGGTTTTTTAAATGGGAACATATGTTTTGAATTTCATAAATTTTTAAAAATATTTTCGGGATTGAATTTTTAATTTTTACCGAATAACCGAAAGTTGCTTACAATCGATTGATTTTATGTTTTTTAAACGATATTTATTTTCATTTTCTTAATAGATTTTGATATTTCTGAACGGGTAGAATCGCTTGGCCTCGCAAAGCCAAAAAATAACTAATAACATAGTATAACAATTAATAGACTCAACTAGGTCAATAACCTGATGTTCAAAATAAAATTAACAGTGTTGTAGTAAGTTTAAATCACAATCCTAGAAAAACGAATATATTTGACAGTACTATTATCATCACATAACAACATCTGCAGTCCCTCCACATTCTCTGGGGATTACCCAGTGTTCGGGACGTTCTCTAGATTTTTAAGTTGAAATTATATTCTTTAATATAAAACGTAAATACCTAACCTAACCTATTCTACCATACATATTATAGGAAAATATTGTATTTAGTCTTAGAAAGAATAGTGTTATCGTTTTTGCAAAAAAAATCTTTTATTTAAAAATGTCTTTTAAGTGTAATACGTAAAATAATAATTAGACATATTAGCAGGGTATTAGCTATAATTATGTAAACATCAAGATTCTACCATGCAAGAAATAAAATAGGTCAAACACAATTGCAAAACAAAATATGTTCAGAAAAACAACTGGTATTCGATAAAAAATAAGTTATAAGACTATACAAACTGTTTTTGTAAAATACGAAGGTTCATAAAATATTCCAAATTTGTGATACCTATAGGAACTTACCATTTGTTTACATTACAAAAAATGACAAATGTTGCTTGTGTCAACAAATTCGCATAAAAAATTCTGCAAAATACATCTAGACTTTATTGTTTCGGTCCATAAAATGTAAGCTATTCAATCAGTCGTAAGAAAATCATTGAAGAAGCCAGTATTACTATCATTGCAATTATTTGGTAAGTAATATACGAAATTGTTTTCCTATATTTACTGGTTTTATTTATTTTCTAAATGTAAAATATACTAAATGTATACGAAATAATATTTTTAAATAATAATTTAATTCAAAAAGTTAATCAAATATGTATGTAACCGTTTAAAAAACTCAAGTTTATAATACTTAAACACATAAGGGGCGGAGTTATATTTTTTGAAATAAATATTTAATTGGTCCCAACTAATAGCTATACAATTAAAAAAGTCTAATATCTTCTAAGTTATTGTCTGGTCCATAGTTAACCGATCACCCAATATTTAGAATCGATGCAAATTGTTTTTTAGTATTATAGTGTATTACTTTTAGCACTTGTTTAGTTGTATACCATATTATTATACTTACATGATATTTATTTTAGCTCCTCCTCTAGCCGTAGTCACTCTACGATGTTTACATATTGTACACAATAAAATATGTTTTTTTTAAACAAGTGTTTTACACTTGTTACACAGTTACACAGTAACACAACTGAATAATATTACCAGAAAATGTTAGGTACTCATATGTTATTATTATTGTTCAAGTACTTAAAAAATACTTATCAAAAAAACTGAGTAGGATATATAAAATTTTGTAGAAAATCAAGATCACATTTTATAAAAACACTTAAAAAAATTTAAATTATTGATTGAGCTAAGTGAGATATTAAGTGGCCTATGATAATCACACTGTACAAGTACTGTATATGTATGAAAACCATTGAAGCAGTCAGTATTTTTATCATTGCAATCCTTTAGTTAACACTACCGAACTTCAAAACTGGTAACGGTTGTATGCTTTCATTGTGTGTTTATTAGTTTCTTCTAATTATGAACATTATTAACTAAAACGGTCAGACGTGTTGTTCTTATAGTCTTATACTATTAACAGTCCAAAGATTCTTCTTAAAATTTTTCTTTTGAAAATCAGCAGTTTGTTTTGCTGTGATTTCCGTAATGTCCACACTTCACGTCCTTACATTAGCACTGGACGGATGAGAGTGCTATACAGCTGTATCTTGAAGTTCTTCGATATGTTTCTCGCCTATAATAACTTATTTGGTCCGTAGTGACATTTATTACCGGATTGGTGTCTCGCTTTTATTCGTCGTTTTTTTTTTTTGTGTCAATATCGATCCCGATATTTGAACTCTTGCACGCTTTTAAACTTGTACTGCTCAACTTCTAGATGGGGTGGGGTTAAAGTAGTTATAATTGTTTTACTATGACCTACCAAAGAACAAATCGCACACATTTTCGAATACATAAGTAGTCACTGTAAGTAAAAACACAAAAAAAAATACATCATAAAAAAAGCACAGTAAACCAAGCACAGTCTAATCCAGTAAAGTACAAACCAATTACAGTAACGGCGGTGTCGGCTTGTACATATTATATAATATCACCGGGGTTTCTAGTATTGTTTACACCATGACCCTGTCCTGTTTACAGACTGTTCCCGAACCTTGTATCTAATGCAAATGGCTTTTACAATTAATATTATTTGCAGATAAAATGAAATTTTGTTGTATTTTGTTGTCATTCGCCATTGTAGAAGTTTTGGCAGCTCCTCAATTTGGTAATTATTGCATACAAACACATATCCAGTAATTACTCGATCTAGTTAATAATCTAAAAAAATTCAGTAAAATAACGGTTATCATTACAGAGGGCTATATCAAGCAGCTTATGATTACAAGTCAGTAAATTTTTTTTGTCATACAAAAACCTTTATGTTTTTAATTTTTTTAATTCTATGTATATATTAAAAACGTTTTACAGGCAAATACATCAAGCTCACAGAAAGTAAGATTTATTTAAAACCAACATATAATTACACAATTAACATACATATTTTTTAAAGACTTTTCATATCCCAAGGACGCACGCATCGCAGATTCTGACGAATGTGATACATTTCCATGTAATTTGTAATATATAATATATTCAAAATTAATATACTGATATAAAAATGTTATGTCATATTTTTTTGGTAAACATATTACCTATAAGGTAATAAAAGTTATATTTTTCTAAAATGTGCAATACCATGTACTGTCTATGTTCTAAGCACTTATATTCATGCAGCATTTATGAAAATCAAAAAGTTTATTTAAGTACATGGATTAGCTGTTTTTGTTATTTACTTTGACCACAATTGATGTTAAGTTACATGGTAAATGCTTAAAATATAGTTTACTCAAATTTTAAAAATGTATACATTATTTATAATTCTATTTAAAAATAATACATTTTTGTGTACCTTAAACCATTATTTGTTTATCTAGCTGTATTGTATAATGCAATAAAAAATCTTATTCATGGAGATACATCTATGGGTATGTAATAATAATAACATAATAAATACAAGTAGAGTTTAACTTGCAAGTAGAAACAACTTTCGAACATTCAACTCCGTCTTATATTTAAAATAAAATTTAAAAAAATACCATATCATAAATTTGTCAATTTATGTTACTGTCATTTTAGAGCAACTTGTTGGCATTTTGGTATTGCCGGGTAATAGTATTCCTTACAATTTATAAACTTAGTCCCCATACTTGATTTTTGATAATCATTAAGTATAAAATATTTTTGTTTTTATTTCAGAACTTGCGAACACTAAAAACCTGCAGCGTGATTACTTTTTTATATAATTATTTTTACAACTCATAATACAAATTTATATAATAGTCAATATTATTTATCTGAATATTTATAAGCCGAGGAATATCTTATTTTTACATGTTGATTTCTTGAGTAGATAAATGATAAGATTTTTATTTATTTCTTTAGAACGCATCGATGGCCAGATTGTTTTGCGAAATGAAATAGGAAAAGAAACAAGTAAATAAAAAACATAAACATTTAATGCGAACAACATTTATAATTAATAATAACTTAGATTACTTGTTCAATTCCAGTTCTATTCTAGTGTATATATTTTTTGCGTATGGTTTGGCCATCGTTCAAAAAATGTAAAAAACTTTTTTTTTTTAAAACAAATATATAGACTGTTAGTGTGTTGTTGCCTTTATCTACTAGGGCAGTCTGTCACTTTTTTCAATATTTATTGATTTTGAGTGGTCTGTATAATTTCAGTTAAAAAATAATAATTGTTTTAGATGAATGACAAGAACTGATAATATTATTACCTTCACTAATATTTTATATTTATTTCACAGAACTTCCTGTGCCTGTTGTTAAAACCCGAGGTAATAACAACACCTTATACAATCAAATTTTAATTCCGCTAAAGAATGGCGTACTGTATATTTGAGATAACATAGAATTTTTTATTACATTCTGTTTAACGAACATTTTAACTAGAGCCTCCATTCTTCTGAGACTAGGAGGAGTAATGGTTGACAATTCCGGAAGCCCTTCCAAAAGGGTTAACTTTAGCGCCCCACTTATCAACCGCATGATACTATTTAATTGCACATCAATTTTATTAGCATGCTGACTGTTATGCCACACGGCTGAGCAATATTCAGCTGTAGAATATACTAGGGCTGGAGAAGCAGTTTTGAGTTTAAGGGTTCTGATCCACATCCCGTCCAGGCTAATTTCTGTACTAAATTTACTCTTGATCTTTATCTTATTAGATGTCAAAGAACGGTCCATGGTCACTCCTAAGTACTTAGGTGAAAAATTGTGATTTACAACTACACCATTGAACTGTACTAGTAGTTTTTGGTCCGACTGTTTGTTGTAGAGGTGGAACGCACACACTTCTGTTTTTAGACGGGTTGGGATTTAGTCTCCATTTATTGAAATAGTCCATGTAAAAAAAATAGTATCCATGTCTCCAAACCGTGTCAAACGCAGCTGTGAGATCTGTAAATACTATATTTGTTTTTATTTTATTAATTGATGCCTATATAATGCCTCATTCAATGATAGAGTTAAAAAGATAAATATTATAAAAACTATACTTTGTACTTTTGTTATAGATGTTCCTGTGCCTAAAAATAAAGACGAAGGTAATCACGCATTTGTTCGGTAATCGTAAATAGCCTTTATGACTGTTACAATATATACCATGTTATATTATAGTTTTTACGGGTTACCAAATTTTTATAAGTTAATCGGTGGTATTATGAAATCCAATTTTTAAAATTAAAAACAGCTAATTTCATTACCCATAAAATTCGGAAAACCACAAGATATGTGTTATTTGCAATTTTGAACACTCGTTTTTTTAAGTTGGGTTATTATACAATATATGAATATTTTAAAAACGCATTTGGGTCAAAGAATACTGGGCACGGAGCATATAGAGGCCGGAGCCAGCAAAAAATGTATTTCCAAATAAACGCTTCGGTGTACAAAAAAATAAACAATATAATAGGAAAGTTTTACACATAATAATTGCAAATACAATAACTCCATAGCTCCGCATCAAAGCAAAAAATAGATACATTTTTTTTTTTTTAAGATCAAAAACCTTTTTGATAAACCCTTTAGCTCCTCATAACGCAAGATTGTGTTAAAACAAATGAATCGTTTATTAATTTTTGCAGGTCTTAAAGTGATATCAAAACTTGAGAATGAGCTAAGATCTAAAACCGGTGAAGCTATTCTCGATTTATTCGAATATGCAATAGACAATAAAGGTAAATATTTTTATATACACATCCATGTAATTGTTTTGCCTTATTACCCACTATACATACATACTTTAGACCGATTATGAAAAAGGGTACAAATAAATAACTTCCGATATAAAAATAATTTAACCAAATTTTCCCAACCGAGCCTCAAAGCATGTTTTTCCATTCAATTGACATAGGCGAAACAAGTTTTTGGCTTATTTAAAAAAATGAGTTTTTACTGCTCGAGTAAAATAATCTTAAAGACGATGAAGTATGGTCATTCATTTAACCTCAAAATGAAACTATCAATGGAACTATCATGAATAAAATAACTTGGTTAAACTTAGAGTGCAAATTGGAAGTTTAAAAAAAAGTTAGGATTTAAGTAATTTTTCGTTAATACATATTAATAAACAAAACATGAATATATTATTAGATTTTTTATAGGTATTCTTAAAGATTATTTTACTAATTTTAAACTTTAGTAAATTAACTATGAAATATAATAAAAAAATGTAAGTACTAGAGAAATGCACTCAGATAAAAGTAACAGTGCTATCATTGCTATGCAATCCATCTTTCTTTCCGTCATATATTTTAAAATGTAATAACTAAATGCTAAATTAAAGGAAAACCCCTTTTTATATGTTCAAGAGTCAGATCATACAGCATTCAGCTGCTATTCAAAGATATGTCGTGTAGCAGGATTGGCCAAAAGTATTAAAAACCCAAGTTTATATATAATAAAAGCTGAGTATGAAGATGAGTATTGTTGGCTAACTGCTGTAGACAAAAGTGTTGAGACAATTAACTTGGATTGTATTGATGTTAAGAATTCAATTTTAGCATGATTATTGTACAATGTCTAAACATGCAATTATGTATATCGCTATAACTGTATGCCATTATATCTCTTCAATTACAATTATATAACAATTATTTCACTTAAATATAGAGTATGAACTTGCACTGAATGTAATACAACACAGTAATATGTTATATTTAAATATTTTAAAATGAAAATAAATAAATCTATTTATCTATCTATGCATACGACTTTTGAATTAATGATTCCGTCAAAAATCTGACTTCATAGTTGTTTTCAGCAAACAATTTCCCACAAAATGGTTTCAAATATGCATACCGTTATTATGGTTGATATTTAATATATTTTTCAGGCCAACTAAAGTGCACCACAACCTATAACATTAACACTAACAGTTTAAACTAAAGTTCGTAACAAACTGTCTTACCTAATACATACGAAAAATATGTTAAGACTAAAATAGTAGGTATGTATTTTTTATAATTTTCGTTTGACGTGATTGTGTATTATATCGTACATATTGGCATCGTTTTACAACCAGATTAAGTACTTAGTCTGATAAAACTTCTGCAATAAACACAAAATAAAATGGTTTTCATAAATTGATTAAAATAGTATGGGCAAAAATCTGAATATACTAAATTTATGTATATCAAATGAATTATATAAAAACTTAGAGCTGCAGTTTCTGTAATTTACTTAGAGCACACTTAGCTATAGGCTTTAACCGTTCTAACAGGAGTAGAAATATTATACAAAATTTTATTTAAGCTTTAAAAATTCATAGCGCTCTGGAAAGTACTAAAAAAATATTTGGTAGTTTTATATTATACAACGTGAATACGTATATTTTCATTATGGAAAACTGTAATATAGTATTTATTTTTTGAGAAAATGAGTGTCTTATGTTAAATTGATCGTCTTGTATAATTAATTTCATAAAAATTACCCAAAAGTATAAACTGCTCTTAGGGTTAACATATTTGTACATTTATAATAACTAGTCACCACTGGGCACTGTGATACATGTTTTTATAAATCTTTTGATATGTTTTAGATTCTGAATACTCACCATTCTGCTGCTATTCAATGATGTGTCGTTTAAAAGCATTAGTCAAAAGTCTAGAAAACCCAAGATTATTTTATTAATGCTGAATATCGCAGTGAAGATGAGTTGTGTTGGCTGACTGCTGTAGACAGAAGTGTTTAATCTTAAACTAACGATTGGATAGATTTCTAGGGTGTTCACATTAATCTAGTTGATAGTAAAAAATATTCACCTGCTTTTTTGTTGTAATGATTTAGACCAGAAGTACTAGTGACAACTTAGTACTCTTATCATTATATTAAAATTATTTTTTTCAAACCGCACTTGCATCCATAATGTCAAATATATTAATGTTCTTAATATTAAATAGCATCGCTCACGATTATAAACACATTTTTTCAGTTTTCTCTATTACTTTGAGCCATATTATTTAGTGGCTTATTATAGGCAATCCAATCCTTTTGTCGCAACCGTCAATCCTCTCTATTTATCAATGTTTGTTTCCATTTCTTATTTGTCAATATATTTTATTCCTAGCAAGTTTCGTTCAGTTCAAACTAGGTTTTATAGAAGTTATGTTTTTCTACATATTTAACCAATATTGAAATTTATTTTACAATATTTTTATAATTTATATTGAAATCGAATAAATTAAAAAAATTAGGTTGTATTAGATCGAAAATATATAAAAAAAAAATACCACAATACTTTATAAAATACAATGATTTTACTTTTAAATTTTCTTGAACTAGTTTTACAGTGTTGGTTTTTATTTTGTTAGTCAGTATTTCATATTAACCTCAAACATTGTAAAATTAAGAAAAAAAGGCTAATTACATAAAAAATATTAGAGACAACATTAAAATAAAAATATTATGTTGGCTACATAATGGTAATTAACTAAAACTGAAAGAAATGCGCCATTTAAATTTTTAGAGATAAAATTTAATATTAAGTAGTTGTAATTTGGCAGTAATGACGAAAGGTATTGATGGACTCTAGAAATTTAGATGAAAGGAAAACGGAAGTAGCTGACATGAATATGTTGAGATGAATTTGTGGACTAGGTTAGACAAAAAAAGTATGAGTAGATAAGAAGTTAGTAGTAGGACTTAACTTTAATAGCAGGAAAAATGAGAGAGAACAGTCGAGCAGGTTTGGGTGTCTGTTAAATGATGATACAAAAAGTTAACCAAGTAATCTGTAATAAAGAAATATTTTTAAAAATAAATGTATTTAATTTAAAATATAATCAATTTTCTCCTGTATTACATAATTTAATTATAAAACATTTGTATCTATAGTTATAAAATATAATATTCATAATTTAGCCCAGAGACATCATATTAACTAATAAAAGCTATTAAAAACCACAATAATTAATACAAACACAAGACTGCATTTAACCACGACAGTTATACATAATATATACTATACTATTATATGAATTGACGAAGAAGAAAAAAATAAAAATCCCAATCATCGTGATTGTTAAAAGTAAAAACTGGCAGGTAATCAACTATAAAATTGTGTATAATTATCGTTTTTGAGAATTCCACTAAAATATTGAACGATTGCCTGTAACATAAAATCGTTTTTTTCCGAAAATGGCCATAAACCTCCCAAAAAACCAATATGCCCGCCTCTTGCAGTCAACAAAATTGCCACGTTATCCGTAGTTGTCGCCTGTTCTAAAGGTATATCTGAAATCATAAATAGTTACCGGAACTTGTAATAGTATTTCAATATGTACATGGGCACAAGCATATATGCTTATAGATTTCAATTTACAATTCAAATAAGATGTATACGTATAAATATGTGAATTTATATAACATTGTGTTGATTTTATTTCTGTTTTCTACTGTATAAACACTATTCTCTGTGAATTGAAACAAAAACGCCAAACAATGGATGGGAAATATATGTAGATAACTATCAAATATTCGACCAAAAGAACAATAAAAATATTCAAACAAATCACAAAAATTACTAATTCAATAATATAATTCCGGATTCACTGGAACAATTAATAGTCGTCTGAATAAGTGTTTTTCCCATTAAATACTATTTTAAATAAATAGAAAATTATTTAAATAATGCTCAACAGTCGAGAAGGTCGTTATACAAAGTTTCTCACGATATCCAAATCCACAAGTGCCATTGTCTGTTTACATTGTGCTGTTTTCCTCAACACTTCACTAACACATAGTTAAAATTGATGGTAAAGACCATAGGACCATCACAACACACTAGCTTTTGTAATTTAAGACATTTATATTAAAAAAAAAAATAGCAGTATTTTTTTTATTAGTTAACTATTAAAACTATTTCCTCACAAACCACTATTGAACACCTCAAAATAACATTACATGATTTAAAAAATACTCGATGTAAAAAATAATCACTACAAAAAATTTGATGACTTATTAAAAACTATTTCGATTTTAACTGAGGAAAATAAAATTTTAAAAGATAAAATGATTCACTTGAAAAAAAATAGTTTATTTAGAAACAAATTCGTCGATGTCTCTAGTTTCTAATGAGAATGATTTAGTTGCTGAAGTATTAGATAGACAACTACGTTCATGCAATTTGATTATGTTTAATTTACCTGAGGTTATAACCGACACTGAAAAATCCGGATTCTGATTTTGATAGAATTTCAAATATATATATATATATATATATATATATATATATATATATATAATAAACTTCGCCAAGAATTTAATCAACTTGGAGATAACGGCGAGAGTAATATTTCTATTAAGTACACCAAAGGAACTCCAACAATTGTAAATAGTCAAAACAACGTTTAAGTAGCTCAGAGTTTAATCTACACAATATATATATTAATAAAGCGTTCGAAAGCTAAATAACAAAATCTCTCATTTGAAATCTCAAGTTCCAAATTCTTTACGTGATGTCTTTATTTTCACTGAAACATGACTTACATGTAATGTTGAATCATATGAACTGGGCCTAATTAGATATAATATATTATTTAGACATTTTCGTACAGAAATTCTCATACCGGTTCTTTATCTAAATGTGGCGGAGTTCTTATCGCTATTGGAAATACCTTTATAACAAAACCAATTATAATTCATAAAGAGTTCAATATCTCATGTTCGTAACAATGACTCTGCCACATCGTACTATAATTATCAGCTGTGTTTATGTACCTAATCACTGTTTTTTAAATCTATATACTGAATACTTTTATTATGTAGAAAATTATTAAATTGTATTATTAAACAACGCATCCTAATGCTGAGTTTTTATTAATTGGTGATTATAGTATACCTTCAGTTTGTAGTAACGCCTATACTTATTTTAATGGTAGACTTTTTTTAAAAATCTTTTTCATTATAACAATATTTGTCATTTAAAACGTTTCGACTTTTATTATGTCTTATCTAACTCTTTATTTATAAATATTATGCAAAATAATCGCTCTATTGTTCCGGTTGATTTGTTTCATCCACCACTAAGTGTAACATATACTTATAACAACTTTATTGATTTTTTAGATTCTTTTGATTGTGTTTTTAATTGGAATGCTGGAGATGATGTGTCTATTTTATTTTATCTAGGTTCTATTAACTGGTCTAATTTATATGATTTCAACTATAATATAAATGACAACATAGCCAATTTATGCATCTTTAAACAACAATCATTATTAATTTTATAAATTAAAATTATATGGGTTTTGTGATCCTTTACTTTCATAGTTTAACTCTTTTCTAACCAATCGTGTCCGATTTGTAAAATTCAATAAATAATTATCTAGTATACCTCAAAAAGATCACTTATCTTTCATACTTTTTTCTTTATTTATAAATGTTACTAGCAAAGTTCCGAATTACTCGAAATGTCAATTATTTTCTGATGATACTAAATTATTTAAAAAAATCGAATGTATTTAGGATTCGTTGGAACTTGGAAGCTGATTTAGATAAATTGTATGAATGGTGCAACAGTAATGGAATGTCTTTAAATATTGATAAATGCTCCGTTATATCTTATTCTTAAAAAAAATACTCTTTATTTTAACTATGAAGTTAATAACATAAATTTAGCATTGATATAGCATTAGAAAAGTTTAATAATTATTTTTTTGATTAGTACCTAATTGTTAAATTTATATTAATTAGTTATTTCTTTACCATCTATGCCTCTACTATGTATGTTGTCTATTTTATTATGTAATACGTTTACACATGTACTATTATTGTTATATATTTGAAATTGCAGTTTTATGCCGTAAAACAAATTATTACTATTATTCTACGAATCTAAAATTCGAAAAAATTAACATTCTTCTAATATACTATGATATTTTATATATAGAATTTTTTATTTTAGCATTAAAATAATTTATTTTACCTTGTTCCAAAGAAAAACTATCATCAGCAGCGCTCAAGCATAAACATGGTATATGAAAACGGTCTATTTTGTCATGTAATGAAGCAGAATCATAGTATTCATCAACTGTATTGTAACCGAACATGTGTATTGTGTAATTTCTATCAAATTCTCTCATAGTTTTACTCTAAGACCAGACAAAAGAAAAATTGTAATTTATATTATAAACACAACTTTTGTGTTATTTTTTTTTTACCTTAATAATTTCGTTGTAATTCCATTTATGATTATGAGAATTTAATAAAAGCTTGCGATTTCTAAAAAAAATTAAATATTATTTCAAACTACGCTGGGAAGAAGAAAAATACATATTATTATTAAATCATAAGAAAAGTACTTCTTCGCTATTGTTGAAATGTAGTTTATCAGATAAGCACAAATTATTCGATTCATGATTGGTTTCTCAATATTGGACATGGCAGAATTAAAATTCCAAGGCAATGAAACAATCATTGCTGCACTGAAATGTTTGTGCGTTAGTTGTTCATTTGAATGTAGATAATTCCCCAAAATCAGACTAAATAAGAACAATTATTAAAGCAATGATGCAAAAATATCAAAATTTTTTATTTTGCAATTATACAATCATCATTACAGTTACTTACCCGCCCAATGATACTCCTAACCCACCTAAAATTGTTTTAGGGTACTTTTGTTTTACATGATTAATTACCTCTGTGAGATCTTCTGTATTATTTCCACAATAACCTCTTGGCGTCTAAACGTATAACAAAATTTTATAAAATTTTAATTTAAGTAAGACAAAATTTTGACCTATTGGGGCTTACACATTTAACAAATATCTTACCTTTAATTCTACACCTCCAACTCCTCTATAGTTGAAGACAATTATGCGAAATCCAGCTTTTTTCAAGGCTAATGATACAGCTCTTACGTACTCAGAATGACTATCATTAGCCACTCCAGGTAAAAACAAAATTGTAGCACATTCAGAATTTGAGTTATCATTTGCATCCAACCAATCTAATGCTACCTGACCACCATCTTTAAGATTCAGTATTTCTCTGGGGATAACATAGTTAACATTAATAACAACAGTACATATTAACAATAATGGCAATGTACCTTTTATATTTTACAGACGGCACAACTACTGATCGTATAATAACTGCTAAAATACTATGAAAACGACTTTCAAAGCACCACATTAGTGGCCAGTATTTTTCATTGATAATAGGCATGTTTTGTTGAACAAATTTCTTGAAATTACCTTCTTTACAATAAAGTTTGGGTTTCTAAATAAAACAATTTTTTATTAAAGTAGTAATTGATTACTCCTTTACATGAATAAATTCTTATACTTATAATAACTTCTTTGTTCGCCCTTTAAAAAAAATTAAAGGAACATTGTGGAGGTACGACCTTGGAGATTTAAGTCGATGGCAAGATTTAGGTGCCCAATAAGACTAATTAACTTACATTTAGTGTGTGTCCTCTGCATTTGCAGGTCAGTGTAAACCAACATTGTGTGAGTATTTTTGTGTCGAGAACAACGATTTGTTTAAAAATAATATAATTTTATACACTTATAGTGTACAGAAATGAACTACAATTCACTCTGTAATAAAACTGTAATTTGTAAAACGTCCACATCTTAGACATAAATACTATTTGATGACTTAGTCAAAAACCTGTTTTTTTAAAATTATAATGTGTACCTAAGACGGTAAAGACTCTGTAATAGTATTGACTACAAGTTAACTATCTATTTCTCCTAGTTTAAAATTCATTTAAAATTTTCAAATTAATCAAAAATATAGTTGTAACTTCTTACTTTCACTACAGATGTCAAATAATAATATGTAAATCCAATAATTGCAATTGATCCAATAACACAGAGTAAAGAAAAACCACTTAAACTTAATATTTGGTTTACAAAAAAGGCCATTGTATGAATAACGGTTATAAAATAGGTTAAACTCGTAATAAAAAAAAAATATATATGTTGAAAAATGATTTAATATATATATATATATATATATATAATTATAATTATTATTTATACTAAACTGTACTGTTTGAAAACTACTTAAGACACTATTCACGCATGTTGCGGTTACTCAAGTGGTATTAAATGCAAGTCGTGTAAATAGCAAAATATAACACCCACTCAAATTTTAATAATTTGATAGCTACGTTAGCTATATCTTATTTAATATAGTTTAGCTTAGATGTTATATCATAGTTTTAGAGGTCAAATGCATTTATTAGCAATCAAATGTTTTTGTTTAGATTCATATGTATTTAATTAAATTTTAGTGAAAAAGTACATAAATAATAATTACTATAAAAGTATACAATTGTAGAGATAAATTGTATATGCAAAATAATAATAAAAGTATTTAAATTGCAAATGTATATAAATTATGTATTATCATTACTGTATTATCGTAAAAAAGCCAGTACAGTAGAGTCGGGGCATAGTATGGAAAGAGCATATTAGGACGTGAGAGGTCACAGATCTATATAAATTATTACAGCTGATGGTGATAAAACGACTTTTAAATAAACGCTTCGAGGCGAATCTCTAATGGTATATGTACAAATATCGTTAAAAACTGTAATGACATCATGTGCTAAAAACTGTATTTTTAGTATCACGGTGCATTCGATAAGTAAATAAAGATTTTATTCTGGAAACGGAAACCAAAATTTCACATTGGAAATCTTATGAAGAAAATAATAATATAGTGTATGTGTTCACATTGTTAAACTGCAGTATTTGCAGATTAATGGTTTTAAATCGTGAATGTCTCTGGTTGGTATACCAATTATTAAATATAATATGGATGTTAGATACATAATTAAAAAGATACATATAACTAATTTAAAATATAACCAAATTTGTCCTGTATTACACAATTTAATTATAAATAATTTTTATCAAAAACTATTGATAATATTAATAATTTAGTTCAAAGCCATCATATTAACTAATAAATGCTATTAAAAAAAAAAAAATGATTACAAACATAAGACTGTATTTAACCACGCCAGTCGGTCTAAAGTTTTTTATATATATATACTATACTATTATATGAATTGACTATGTAGAAAAAAATGAAAATCCCAACCCTCGTCATAATTAAAAGTCAAAACTGACAGGTAATCAAACTAGAAAACTGTTTATAATTTTCGTTTTTGAGAAATCCATTAAAATATTGACTGATTACTCTTATCATGAAATCGTTTTTTCCGAAAAAGGCCAACAACTTTGAAGAAAACCTATATGCCCTCCTCTTGCAGTCAACAAAATTGCTACGTTATCCATAGTTGTCACCTGTTCTAAAGGTGTATATGAATTCATAAACAGTTACCGGAACTTCAAAAGTATTTCAATACATACATGAGCACTAGTATATGCACTTAAATTTACAATGTAAATAAGATATTTATAAATACAAAATAATGATTATTTTTTGTGTAACCGAAGAAAGTGATTAAAATTAAAAAAATGAGTTTTCCTAGTTACCCAGAATTTATGAATTTATCCCAATATCTTTTTTATAAAGCTGTTATAGTAATACATAAAATATAAAAATGTCAAATCGGGTTCTCCTTACATACGCTACAAAATACAAAATTAAATAGGGTGAGTTTTTATAAAAAAAAATTGAAAAATCAAGTAAAGAAATTATATTTTCTCTTAAATATTGCTATATTTCTTTGGTTTCCCAGGTGAGTACAAAGATAACCAAACACAATAAAATGTTTTGTGATAATCTGGTTGACTAGCGGTTTATACAACGGTTCGGAAAACGGAGTTAAAACGCTATAATCCGAGGTCACCTCTTCTATTAAACCGAATACACTACTGATTATACAATCAAACGGAGATAGTCTTAAATAACTAAAAGAAAACGTACTTAATATTCGTATTACTTTTAAATCTTTTAGACAATTAATCATTCTTTTGTTGTAGTCACCGTAATGTCGAACCAGAAATGACATTTGTTTTGATATTGAATAGGACGCTGAACTCTGTTTCATTTCCATTAGATAGATAGTGACGATTCTCAAGATGATCGCCTTGAGAGTAGTTATGACATGGTTTTGCAGTGTAATAAACGAGTTAATGTATTGGTTCAGTGGTACGTTGACAATACCAGTGTTCTGGTAAAGATTGCCGAAATGGTTCATTATAGGATCGCTGTCGACTTGAACGCCAAAAGTCTTTATTAAATCGTCAACGGCATCCATGTTTTCCATCAGATGCGATAACCGCAACTGGTCCAGTCCGATGCCCAACGCTTCTTTACTCGTGTAATCAATAACAGTACTATGTCGCTGTTTCGAAAATCTTTCCTTATTGGACTCCAGTGACGTGTTTTGTCTTTGCATGACTTCCTTTATCTTGTCCACAAAGTTGATGTCTTGGACTTTACAATTTTCCGGGTCGTACACCTTACAGCCGTACGATTTGGTGAACTCTTCGAGCACTTTTTCCAAGGCGTCGTTCGAGGCTAACAGTATATGTTTATTGCTGCCGACACCGGTGTCTCCCAACCGGAACGACTCGTCAATCTGAGTGTTGTAAAAATATAACAACCAACTGATCTCCAAAAACCTCCAACGTTGGTTCACAAGACCGTAGTGGACTACGTAAGCGGCTTCTTCGGTAAACGTTAGCTTTTCCAGTGTTGGCCAGTCACAAACTTTTGTCAGGTACATGTGTACCATTGCACTGAACACGAAACCGCAATCTACTTCTTCGTCGAAAGTCAAAATATAATTGCTTACGAATTTGGAATGCTTTGTCCATATCTCGCGTGGAGTTAGGTGTCGTCTTTAAATGTAAACTCGGTTGGGCATCTTCAACTGAGCCATTAGAAATTTCGACCTGGTGTTTTTGATTACGTGTGTGTTTTTCACACTGTGACAACGCATTATTATTATTAAAACAAGAGAAATCGTAAGAACCTTCATTTCGAGTATTTGGTAACCACGTTTTGATACTACTAAAATATTTTATACGTCAATTATATTCGCACTATATTTTTTTTTGTAAAGTTTAATCGCAGCGCTCTGGACGTTGTTTTTCTGCTTCTCGACTTGCAATAACACAATCGTTCGTATAAGTTCGTACACTTATAAGCCTATGGAAGCATGAAACGTATGATGATACAAAATACAAGCAGTTTTATCTTGATTAAACTACGCGTTTAACACCATAGTTATTTATTTAGTCGGTACAAAGGAAAACGCCGTTTAGTGTGAGTACTTCAGCAACTCACAATTTGTACAAATAAAATGACATTTTACATGTTTTTGCGGTACGGTACTTTGAACTTTATGAAAATTTAAAATTTATCAAGTTAACATTTTGTAGTTATAGTCTGGGGAATCTTTGGTATCAGCAACTGTTACAAAAAAAAAACCGCTCAACGCTTGTATCAGGTCATTATTAGTATTTTTGTGTTGTATGATATTTTTAAGTAGCATAAACTTAATAATTTCTCTAAATCTAGTAAAACAAAAATCGTGTACCTATTGGTTGGGTCTAAAATAGGCTTTAGCTTCCCACTATCCATGAGGGTCAAAATGTCAATAATTATCTAATAAAAAAATTAAAAAATGAAGACCTCATATTTTCGGTGCCAACTATTAATCGTATATGCCTTTTTTTTTTGGTTAGTTACAGACTATAATCTAGTTATAGACTATTCCCCTGCGGGTGGGGGTTAGAATACACCTGCGGTAGTCCATGCCAGTCGTAAAAGGCGACCAAAATGGACCAAACAATGGGCAGCAGCGTTGTTTGTATCAAGTATAGATTTGTCTATACTTGAATAGAACCTCATAGAAATAAGAGGTGCTACTGCGATGCATAAGGTAAGGGGAAACCGCTGCATACCATTCCCAACACACAACCATGATACGCTCTCCTAGTAATATAAAAAGTACTAATCATGAACCCAGAGAAACAAATCTGGGGAATATGAAGAAGCTAATAGCTCTAGGAAATTATAAGGAAATGAAGAGACTAGCAGATAAAAGAGAAGATTGGTTGAAGCAACAAGGCGAAGCCTTTGGACAATAAAAAAAAAAAAGACTATAATGAAGAGGAGATTGATTCGCATATCAACCGAGGTTGTTCGGTGCAAAGCATTAAAGTACACCAAGAACCGACTACAGCCATCACCTCAAAATAAAGCGTTAAAACAAGTTAATTTTTACCCAAAGTATGATGAAGTCCCGTTAATAAGCGTACGGTGGCATTGTTTGTGTGAAGCGATAATAATTGTTTTTGCAATGGTAAAGTTAAACAAGTTATAGCCAAATAGTTAGCGACCGACCCGGGATAGACTTGGTGTACTTGAGGTTTTTCCACTGTATGTACGCGTTATTTTGGTTCCGTTAAACATGACATAAAAACATCCATGTACATACAGGACGTTGTACAGGACGTACCCGTATGTAATACTTGGAGTCCGTCAGCTAGCGCATTTCCATATTATATTGCTATTGTCGTCGTCGTTAGTGGCTTTAATATTGATTGTTGTTAGTAAATAAATAAGAACATCATGGTCACGCCCATAGCACACCCAATATTAAACACGCTCCTAAGGTCCAAAGAGCGTATTTCAACAGCACCTTGTGAAATCCCGACAACGCGTTGGCGCCGTTGGACGCAGCCGGTTCGTTTTCCACCTGATAGTCGGGATGATGATGGTTTAAGTTTTGAAAATTAGGACAGGCGCACAAGGGATAATCGTCCGGCAAGGTCACGGGCCATCATCCGCAGTTGCACGAGTCATCGAGTTTCTCGGTCTGAGAAAATGGAATAAAAAAAAAAAATACAACCGAAAATAGAAATCCCTATAGGAGAAGCAAGACTGACCAAGCAGTACACGGTGTTGTGGGCGTCGGAGAAAACGGTTCACTTTTCACGGTTCAAGGTGCGCTTTCAACCCGAGGCGAACGGGCAATCCTTGGCCGGTTGGGCGTCGCCACTG